ATGTTGAAGGGGAGGGGGGGCACACAACTAAATACATTTAAGTACTTGTGTGCACAATTCTGAGCAGTTATGCTTATTTCAATTTCCACCCCACCACATTTTATGCAACAGCCCTAGGTCATATTTGTCAATGTGATCAGTTTATAAAATACACATTGCTATAGAGCAAACAAACCGTTAACATTCAGATGCTGCTTGGAATTAAAAATTTTCATGAGGTGCTACATTGTACTCCTATCACACTGCAGTTCAGAGGGAAATACTGTACTTTATAGACAGTTTACAAAATAAGCTTATTCATAACAGCTTAGGAAATACGCTGTTAAGAGTTCATGAATATTCTTTGAGCTGAAATTGTTTAATTATTGGTCAGCACATAAATTCTCATTTCAACCTCAGTGATTTTGCTGCCTTTCCTTGCTTTAATTTACTGAAACCATTGGTTTGTCCATCAACTTAAAGGAGTCACTTTCACTTGTTTTTGTAATGGGCATTTGAAGTTTTGCAAAATAAATGTTTTGACAGAGCCATACTGCATTTTTGCAGCAGGTAAGGTGAAGAGTCAACAAGGCTGAATGCATTAGTTTTTAAGCCAATGTTGACCATTTCTCTGCATTGAGTACACATACACACCCATGCCCAAGTTCAGCTAGTATTCAAATGCCTTTTCTAACCAAGCATTCATCTGCAAACTCCCAACACTCAGACTCAAGTCACCAAGGTTATCAGCTGACCAGTTTTCTCCTGCCTGCTTTAATATGGCTATATTCTCATGACGTCAGCCTGTACACCTAAATTGTTCTCAATCACTTACAAGCCAAGACACATTCTTTGGTTTTGTTTTTATTAAACAACTCTGCAGGACAGTTATGATGGTGACAGTCAATAAAGCAGAGACATCTGTTCTGGACAGCAACTTCAAGCAGTCTCTTCCTTGGCAATACGGTCCTTCTTGAGTGGTCCCTGTGGAAGAGAGAAATGTAATGATCAGTCGTAGTCCAATACTCATCTGCTGTTGGCCTGAGTCCACATATTGGCTCAGAATAGCCAATGTATCCAGAGAGTGAACAGGGAGCGAGCACAAACAGGCACTGCTCCCCTGCCTCACTGGAGATCACTATGGCACTGGAATGGAACCCAGAGTTCACACTGAAGACTGAACCAGGTTACGAACAGTGCGGCGAAACAGACGACACCTGGCAGTATGTAACGAGTCTCATTTCTACATCCCATTTGACGGTGGGGCATACTGATAAGTCCCATTAAGATTTTAAGACCAGGGAAAGCAATTTCATGCAGAAGTGCTACAGTAAATGTTTCTGGACAGTGTCTTACCATGAACGCCTTCTTTTCCTCCACAGTCTGGAAGCGGCCATGACCAAACTTGGAGGTTGTGTCGATGAACTTGAGGTCGATCTTCTCCAAGGCACGACGGCTGCTCTGCACCAGCAGAGACTGGAAAGTAAGGAAGCACAAATTCAAGTATGAGAACAGATACAAAGTTAACTTTTGTCTAACCATTTGTAGAACATCCAAAATTAGCACTTAAGCCTCACCTTGCGCAGAGTCAGCACCCTCTTCTTGGTCCCCACAACACAGCCCTTCACCATGACGAAGTCATTAGTCACCTCTCCGTAGTGGACAAATCCACCCTATGGTGGGAGGGAGGGAAGTCAGTCACATGTTCTGCTTCATGGTAGGGTGGTAACCAAACCACAGGTTGCATGAATGTCACTTACCAAGGGGTTGATGCTCTTGTTTGACAGATCATACTCTGTGGAGGCATTGTTTTTCACCAGCTTTCCATCCTTGGTGTGGTAGCCCTGGCCAATCTTGTAGATCTTCTTGTTGATCTCTGTACGGTGGTGGTAACCCTTCTGACCAGCACGGGCCACAGAGAAAGCCACACGGGCAGGATGCCAGGCACCGATACAGGCCACCTTACGCAGACCACGATGGGTTTTGCGAGGAAGCTTCTTTGTGTGCCAACGGCTGGTGACACCTGCAGGACAGGAGATCATTAGAATCTCGGTATTTCTATAACTAAGACACGTGACCCTGCAGAAATGCTGCACTGAGTCCCTTTTTGCAGCTAATGGGACTCTTAGGCAATCTTACCCTTGTATCCGTGACCCTTGGTGATGCCAATAACGTCGATCATCTCGTCCTGGGTGAAAACGGTGTTGACTGGCACAGCCTGCTCCAGCTTCTCCCGGGCCCAGTCCACCTTGTCAGAGACGGTGCCTCCGTTCAGCTGCACCTCCATGAGGTGAGACTTCTTCTGCCTCACTGGCAGCAGACGCATCTGCACACAGAAAAAAAAAAACAAACAAAAAAAAACAGGTCAGACCAGCTAAAACCGCCACGCCACAGTTAAATTGTACAATTAATTTTAGCCGTGTAGTCTCAGAAGGAAGGCAGCATGGAAGGTATCCTCATATGTGTCGGGCGCCATGCCTGACGCAAGATCCGTGGTCTCATCACTGACAGACAAGCAGACACTAAATCACCTCAATGTAAATCTAGTAGACGTACTAACCTGAGTGTGGGCAATGACACGGATGACCTGGCAGTATTTCTTCATGGCAGCAAAGTCCTTTTCCAGCTGTTTCTTGCCTTCATCATCCTGCCATTTCTTGCAGTATTTGGTGAAAGCCTTCTTCTTGGACTTGTACCTATGTGCACGCAGCACGGCAGAGGAGAGAACACATAGGTTGGCACAGGTCCTTCATAACCCCGAAGGGCCAGCGGAAGAACACAGTGCATAGCTGCTCGCCCTCCCCTCCATGTGGACAAGGTGGCTGCATCAGCTAGGAAGGATTTCGGCTCATGGCACAGTTTCTAAGAAGCACTTTCCACTGGCCAGAGGAGCCCGGAGCTCATCAGGGCACACGGCACCTGAGCGGAGCTGCCATAGGGGCCACCGTAATGTTAGACTCAGTGAAAACACACTACTAATTTCAGTTCCACTGGGCAACCAACATCTGCTTCACCCACTCATTACACAGATAATTTCATTATGTAGGGTCTCACCAGTTCTTGTAGAATCTACGCTTGCACTCGTCGCTAACGTGCTCAGCAAAGATGGTCTTGAAAGAACGCAGGCCACGAGGGGTGTTAACGTAACCCACAACACCCACCACAATCATGGGAGGAGTCTCCACAATGGTCACAGCCTCAACCACTTCCTTCTTGTTCACCTCTGCAGAGATTAAATAAAACAGGTGAGCTTTGACATTGCATAACTTATGTCAGAAGATCTTCTGAGCCTTTAATGTACTAACTGCACTTCATGGTATAGACTGCGCTCAGTGCTCGACATTCAGCAAGGGGTATAAACCCATTATGTCCGCCCGTCGAGAGGCTCATCACAGGCAGAACACCATACTTCATACATAAATCATTCAATGCTTAATATATGCATCCACAGCTTCTTATTTTACTTTATAATAGAGATCTGAGTCTAATCTTACGCACTTGAGCCAGGTCTGTCGACCTCACGCACGATGTGGGTCATGCCGGCCTTGTAGCCCAGGAAGGCAGTAAGGTGCACGGGCTTGCTGGGGTCATCCTTGGGGAAGCTCTTGGCTTTACCCCGGTGACGACGACTCCTCTTGCGGGGCAGGAAGCCCAGCGATCCGTGTCGCGGAGCCGAAAACTTACGGTGGGACTGTGGAGGGAAGACACGGTTAGCAAGGGGCCCCATTATCCTCCGAGATAAACACGATCTTAGGAGGGCAGTCTAAAATAACAGTGGTTTTAATACTTAACTAACTCGTGTGGTATTGTTATTAACAAAAAGGTTAACTGCAGGCGACAGAGTAATGTTAACCACGCTGTTAGCTTACGGTTAGCTAGCTTCCTACTTGGCATATGCACGTCTGTCAAAACTGACGCTTGAAAAAAGTAAGTTTGAGTTTTAGTAGCCAGAAAATGCATCACAATAATTAAGTAGCGCAGAAAGTGTGTTTTATAAAGATAATTGCTTTAAAATTATAGGCAGCGGCCTACGTCAAGATGCCATTTTGAACCTCGCCGGTATAGTTTAACATGCAACACTAAAGTTTAAGTATCGGGCTGAAATATCACAGAAATCTATTCAAGACATTGATAAAACAGCCTATAAAAAGCAATCTGACTCTCTGAAAGAACTAAAATATATTGGATGCCTCAGATAACAGACAGATTTTCGTTTGCAGTGTCAGCTGCATGAAGAGCTCGCTCACCATCTTGTCTCCAGTCCGATTGAAAGAGGCCTGTAGAGGGGCAACGCTCATTTATATACTAAAGCAAATATCGCGGGATTTGGCGTGATTATCCTCAGAGAAGATCCGACCCCGTTATTTCAGCCTGTGGATGTATTAAACTCAGCAGCCACTAGGTGTCGCTGTTGGATTAGACCAAGTATCTGAATGCATTACACACTAAATACGTTTTAGTTACATGATCACACAAATGGTAAAATATTTTAGTGTGTTATTATTGACTTGTACGGCACATAAGCAGATATAGCGACCTATGTTTGGCCAATACTATTTTTATAATATTTCTTTTCTCGTGCAAGTACCTTACAGTACCTTTTAATACTTATCTTTAGTTGTTATTGTGGTTTTTATGTTGACCTTGATCTTGTTTTAACCATGCATAGTGCCTTTGAGTACCTTTTAAAGTGCTATATAAATAAAATGTATAACATAGTTGTGTTATATTTGTGACAAATGTAAACGATATGCATTTTTGTTCTTCTGTGGTATCTGGTGCAGTTTTAATCACTTAAGAGTAGAACACAACTTAATTATAGGCCGAGATGTAAAAAAAAGTCTTTGAACTTGTATATAATATGTATATATAAGAAAATGTACAATTTGGTGTGTTTTGTAGTTCTTGATGTTATTGCTCATGTCCTATACTAACTAACCCTTCATACTTATAATTAATAAATAAAAAAATTAAAATAATGGTCATTTATAAACTCATAATAAATCACACATGCCATAAAATCAAGCTCTTAGCACTTATTAGCATTTAATTAATAAAAAAAACAACAATACATTTCTACCTTTCACGTTAAGGCAGCAATATTTTCTTTTATGATCCAGTGTTGCAACACATTTTCAAGCATTTCAACCACCAGAGTTCCACCAGGGGAAAGTTTGAAAAGCCTTTTGTGTTGTCTTTTACCTATTACCTAAAAAGTCTTGGCAAAAGTTGATTGCTGGGAAGATGGCTGAGGTGCTTTTGCTATAATGTTCATGAATGTTTTAAAATATAATCATAGCATAAAATGCTAAATTCATGCACCGAAATGAAAACATCTTCCAAGAAGGCTCGCTTTAATTGTGCCATCAGTCCTTGTGTTTCGTATACTGTGACTTTCCTCCAGTTATGAGAACAAAAAAAGAGGAATATACATTCAACAAACATAAAACCCTGTAGCTATTTTTTAACATTTAATTTTACAGCACTTGTCTTGCAAATGTAAAGTTCTACAAATGATCAAATCTATCATACCAAACAGAAAAATGCCATGCTTTACTGCTCATCTAAAGCACTAATGCGAACACAGTTTATCTGAATTCTGTATTGAATAGTGGCTGTGCACACCATGCGGTTGGTCACAGGCAATGCAAAATGTAGGAATGAGGATGTTTTCCTCTGACTTAATCGTTGGATCTTACAACGCTGTCCTGTAGAGTGGGTGATTGGGTTTAGGGTCTTCATCAAGGACAGGCGTGGTGGTACTAAACCTGTGACTTTCACACTCTAACACTCATCATTATCATTTGGAAATGTGCACGGAGGTGTGATCCGAATTAGTGTCGTTTGGTACACGTTCCTTCCCTTAAGCGCTGACGTCAGTCACTCTCGATCAAGGTTCATCTTTTGGAAGAAGGCCTTTCCGAATTCATAGGTGCTTATCATAACAGCACAGGCTGGGGCCACTTTGATCACCCTGGGCATGAAACCTGAGGGGTTAAAACAAAACATGTTTTCATGTTTGAGCAAAGCAAACATCACATTTTCTTACTTTACATAAGACGGCATCCGTCTGTACCTGCAAAAAGGCCCCTGTAGCCCAACTCAGTCCATATTTCTTTCATTATGTGCCATGTGGACGTGGTTCTCTTTAAGGAAACTAGGAGAAAGTGGGAATAAGTTTAGAATATCTTACACACATTTAACACAACATAACTGGCCTACATCCCCATGTGCAAGTACAGACCTCCCAGTGTATCCATTTCTCCCAGCTGGATCTGTCTCCGTGTCTTCACCACATCAAAAGGCAGCGTCAGGATTGCAGCAATCTAGACACCATGACAGACAAAAACAAACAAACAGTCATATACTGGACAATAAATCGGTGCAGACAAAGGCTACACTTCAAACACTTAGATGCTATCTCTGCATGAAGAATAACCAGTAACATCAGGAGGGCAGTCTGACAATGCATTCACTGCTCAGAGCTGGGCCTGACACCTTGTTATCAGATATTAGACTGTAATGAAGTCACTGTGATGTCTTTATACAGTACAGTTAGTATAGTCAGTTCACCAAAGCAAACCTCCACATTTCTCAAGGCTACATTTTATTGGTTCTCACTTTGAGTTCAGGTAGAAAATAAATTACATCAAGGCATTCATAAGGTATCTACCATATCTATCTATCCATCTAATTATCAGTCTTACGTTAACGCTACAGTCCGTTTTAACATAGAATAATGGAGCTGTGAAGTGGGAGGAGCTATTCTGGGTGCCCGTGGTTTCAGAAGTCCCATTCATTTTCCCCCATAGACAATGTTACGTGACTCATAGTTGGAGCACTTCTACAACTTGCAATGAAACTCTCTTGCTTTAAATCATCAGTAAAAAACCCATGTTAGAAAAGAACTGCTTCTTGATAAAAGTCCGGAGTACAAGCCTGTGTAAAGTTAACTACGACTCCCGAGCTTCATTTCCGTAAGAAAACAAATCACTGAGCTTTAAATTCTGTTGCATGCGTTGCTTGGACTGGTGGGCAGAAGCTAAAGAGTTTGCTGTGTTTGAAATTCATTAAAAAAACTTTTGGATTCTGGGTCAATTTTGGATGAATTCAGTTCAAAATTCAGATTTAGCTACTGTTCTGAGGTAAGCTACACTTTTGAGGTAATATTTAGAGTCCGTACAAAAGAGGGCTGGAAACGTGCGTACGCCACTTCCTAAGAAATGGTTGTGATCTATAAAAAACAAACTTGACTGAGAATGTGCGGTACTGTAAGTAAACTCTGAACCATGCGTACGCACATAAAGAGGAGAAATTAGTGAAACGGTGACTCATAAGAATGAAACGGTTTGAAATGAATAGGCCTACTATTGTCTAAAATAAATCGACCTCTGAGTAGTGTAGGCTTACAGCCTTTCTGAATAAACAAACACCTGTTTGATTGACTTTTCCCTGAAGTTTAAGATCATTTGCAGCGCACAAAAAGATCCAGACTTTGGATCATAAACACAAACGGACATCTGTTTCTGCAAAAGAACGCCTCAAATATGTGGTACAGTTTAATCCAGAATCATATTAACTAATACTTGCATGCAGTGCAATTTATTCTTGTAAATAAGGTGAACAGGAGGAAAAATTGCATTTAAATTGACCGTTTTCAATGTGTCAGTCAAGCAAATACTGCCTAAAAGTGCGTTTTTTACCCACCAAACACGCTTCAGTTTCACCAAAAGGAACGTCAGCGTCACACTGAGTTAAATCTCATTTTGTAGCTTTTCTGTCAGATTTTGCCTCCTTTTCTTCCTGCAGTCAGTATGTATTAATATTAATGAGGGGCGTTTCGCTGACCATTTATAGGCAACTATGGGCGTTTGAGGGGTCGGACATGGAGCTCCCTCACATGCGCCACGTTCCAAGTTGATTGTGATTTATAAAGGGAACTTTACGCACGGTGTCAAGGCACACGTACACTTTTAGTGAGGTTTCTACACACAGTTTTATAAATGAGACCCCTGGTGGCTAAAACATAAACCTATAAAGTTGTTACATTATCACAGAGAGTCCTGTGTTAGAAACTCTTTAACATCAAGTATACAACGGGAATATAGTGAAAGGATGGAGGACTTACTGTCCTAAAGGATGGGAACTGTTGGGCTTCTGTAAATAGCATCATAGAGTACGGTCTAGACCTGCTCTTTTATGAAAAGCACTGTGAGATAACTGTTGTTGTGATTTGGCGCTATATAAATAAAAACTGAATTGAAATTGAATTGAGGACAGTTGAGTACTTACAGCTCCAGAGACGCCTCCTGCAGTAAAGCTGATAGAGAAGTTGGCCTGAGTCATCTGGGACTGTTCACAAAGCCGGGCCTTCACCAGTTCATAGTTAAACCAGTACAAAGCTGCAGACACACACAAACAGGCACAGTTAGAGTTGTTTTATTTTATTTTAACCCCACACTACAGTCATCTTCTGCTTTCCAAAATAACCAGCACTGTGACAGATGGCTGCTCATTTTGAGTGTCCCATCTCATTTTCTCTTGTGTTTCCTGTTGTTTCTTACATTACGCCCCTGGTAAAAGGATTTTTGGAAAGGTTTTCCTTACTCAGATCACGGGTCTAAGGATAGAGGGTGTCTTACGTCGTACAGATTGTAAAGGCCCTTGAGGCTAATTTAAAGCTAAATAAATAAAATTGACTGTACCAGTGTTTTGGACATGTGCTGGTTCAGTCAGGGAAAGATGGAAAAGACAAAAGGTAAAGTGTGTTGGATATGTGTTCTTTCCTACCCCATGTGTTTAGAAGAAAAATAAAAGTAATATCTGGGATGAACATTGAAAAGTTTATATAATTTATTCAATCCTACCCCAAATATATCTAGTATCAAACAGTCCATAAGCCATAATTTTTCTGTCTATAGGGGACGACTGTTTGATAGATTTGGTTGATTTTGCATGTGTTATCTCTCTAGTAACACCTCTTTTCTTCCAAGTGTAATTATATTGCATTCTGTGGTGCTGCTCTCACCAGAGAAGGGGACGTCTCTGAGAACGGTGGGTCCCCAGCCCCTCCACAGTGACAGCAGGCCGCCCTGGGCCACAGCAGACCGGATACACACCCGCAGCTCGCTGTAGGACAGCCGGCGGGACTGCATCTTGGTCCTGACCAGCTCCAGAGGGCTGATCACGGTCACAGCCCCCACTGCAACACACACATGCACTCACTTAGTATTTACGTGTGCATTTGCTTGTGCAAGCAACAGAGGCTTCTGGCATGGGGACTGCTCATCTTGAGTACTCTGTGCCTGGTGTTTTGTGTTCTTGCTGTGTTTTTGACTTTGTTTCTTTTGGTAGTCTTTATTTAGGGACTTGGTTGTTGTCTTCATGTTAAAAAATCCCATGGATTTGGTTTAAGGTGTTTTATCTGTGGTGGTTTGGGTCAGTGTTGGTCGCCCCTAAGGCCCACAGGGAGGCCTAAAGTTGGGGCGTAAGAGTGCTTTAATGGACTTACATCTGGCCAGACCGCCAGCAACAAGAGGGATGTGGTTGCCTTGGAAACCCAGACCATATCTCAGGAAGTCCCTCAGCTGGTCATAGCAGGTGAAGTAGATGATGGTGGCAGGTACAGCCATAACCCTGCACACAGACATAAACAGCAGGTTTCTAATGAGTATGTTCACACTGTACACTGTGTTTCAAGCACAGCTGGATTTATAATAGTGTTTTATTCGGCTGTTCTGCCACTGTATAGCTGTGGTGGTGGGTCATCCTGCTTTAAACACTTAATCCTCAAAGAATAGAGTGAGTCTAAACACTGTTTCGGTACAGAAATGTCACATCTGCAGAGGAAACACTTGCGGCACTCTTAACTATAACAATGTTAAAATACCAAACAGCAGAATAAAACAGCAATTGGTTACTTAGATCAGTGTAGTTACAATTTAAAGAGATATCCCTATCTTTCTCACCCTATTCTAAATTTCACTTCTTACGCATGTATTCTTAACATTTTCTCGAAGACAGTATAGACACTCACAGCGTTGGTGGTAGCCCACTCCACAAAGACCTGAGTCCTTCATATCGAGTGATTTTCACAAAAGCATCCTATGGAGCGAGCAAACAAACATGTTGATTCATTTTGTGCAAAACGACTGTGGAAAAAAAGCAAAGCTGCTGATGTACTTGTACTCACAAGTGTGCCACTGAACTGTGTTGGCGTTTTGTACCAGCTGGTGCAACTGGTTCTATTCTGACACACATAGATGTGATCCATCAGTCCATTACAATACAGGAAACATTTCCCTGTGAGATGCAGAACAACCAGCAGTCAGCAGAGTTATAAATATCAGCAGAGTGTACAATAACTGGACGATACAGCAATCAACAGATAATTCATCAAAGCCAGTATCTATAAACAACATTCTGGTTAAGTATCTCACTATCAGTATGATTCAATCGGTAAAGTGTTATCATTCGTTTTTTAATGTTATATAATACTTTACAGAGGAGAGGAAGGTGATTTATAACACGTGATGGCAATGACCACAGAGTCACTCAGCAGAAGATAACATCAGGACTGTCCTTGTCTCTGCTTACTTTGCATGTTTATTTAAAGCTGGTTTAAAGATAGACTATTGACTTTTTTTAACTTCCATTTCCCCCCCAAACTGCTTCTACTACAGTTTTTACCATGTCGAAATATCGCAGGTAACAAAAACACAACATTTACTAGGTACAGGATCACAAGTGAGCAGGAGTACAGAAATTTTTCAAGACAGATTTCCAGTTTGAATTTTAAGTAGTGAGAAGTAGCCAGGCAACATTTTCACTGTTTTGTTTCTTGAATGCTACCAAACTGTAGAGTCTCTACAAACATGGATTGTTTTTTAAAACCAGGTACAAAACTGCAGCCCTAACCCTTACCCTTGTAACTTAGACCTCCATTAAAAATAAGACTGAAGGCCATGAAGTGAAACTAAAACATGCATGTCTATGCTAATACAAAACACGTAAACAGAGTGTAAAATTAGCACCAGCCACATGCTGGTAAAATGTGCTAATCGCTGGTAGATTTATTTCTCTCACCAGCCAAAAAACAATGGTAATTTATGGGGTGGGCAGTACACTCTGAGCATTCACTAGCCATTGGATTTTGCACCCTGCACGTGAATATATTTGCAAAAGGGGTTATTTTGTTTTCATTGGCAAGAAATGTTTGTTAGTCGAGCATGTGCCCCACACACAGAAAGTTGTGCTGAACACGTTTTTTTTGTTTGTTTGTTTTTAAACTGTTGCCAAGTTTTAGCATGCAGCGACGGCGGGTCAGATACTCACACTTGGAAGGGCGGATGATGCCAACCCGCGGAGCAGATTCACAGGCTAAAGCTGTGAGAAAAAAAAGCAAAAAGGCAGGACAGATAAAGACAGACGACAGAAAAACAGAGTGTAAAGACACAAAGGACGAGTGTAGTGAGGTTAGAAAAGCATTAAGATACACATGGCATCCACACGCAGCTGTTAAAAGCAACATCGGTATCTCATTGGTTAATGTATGGTCTAAACCCACAGAAGAAAAAAAGCTCCTTGTCCTACCTTGGTGGAACGGTGTTTGCTGAGCCTGCAGCCTGATCTTCACAACGTCCAGCGGTGTGACTGTAAACAAATAAATTGACATTCAGATTCAATTAAAACACTTAATACACTCACTTACCAATTTATTAGGTACACCTTGCTGAAATCTAATATAACATAAACAACTCTCTGGGTAATGCAATTTAATTAATTCCCCAAAATGATTTTAAAGTGGAACCAGCACCTCTCTAAAACAGCTACAACAAAAACTGAACATTATAATATTCATGTAGGGAGGATTTATTGCAGGACTTCTGTATTTGACTGCATTAGTTTTAGCAAGGGGTACCTCATAAACTGGCATCTGAGTGTACATACTGTACTTTGGTGACAATAAGCCAATTTTGTGCAATTATATCTTTAGACGTACAGACGCGAGTCTTTTCTAGTATTTGTTTTCATGATCTCACCAAAAACAGATGTGAGGAGGGCTCCAGTGCCAGAAGCCAGCATCTGCTGCACCGGAGAGATTGCAGCCATGGGGCTGCTGACGGCCCGCTCCCCCATCCTGCTCACTTGTCAAACCAAAAAAACATTAATAATAATAATACCACTTTACACTGAGAACAAAATGTCCTAATAAACTTTGCAGAGGTGTTTCTGACCCTGTCAAATCTTTATAGCAGACATCTATGCCCCGTGTAAAACAACAAAGGAGGAGCGTTGGTGTCCTAGAGGATCAGCAACCTAACACCTCGCTTGTGGCTGTGCTAGTGTCTTGTTATGTCACAGTGAGATGGCTGAATACTTGAAGTGAAAGAAAACAACTGCAATTTATATTGTGTATTAGGTCCAAATAAGTTATCACAATAAAAAGGAAATCATATAATTCAAAATCAATAATTATCAGAATAAATGTTAATTTCTTTCAAGTTTAAAAGCAGATTTTTGCTCTTTAGTAAAAGTTGAAGAAACCAGATGGTTAATTATGTGGTTTTAAACTTTTCACTTAACAAATCTGAGGCAGAACATTCAAAACAATTATAAAATCATTTTACAATAAATATGAAGGAGTAAAATTAAGTAACTTTTCCTGTCTGTTTTCCTCAACAAAATAAATATTTTATTAGAAAAATTACTAATTACTGTGTAATAAAGTCAGAACAGAAATCCTACACTGATGTTAGCTGGCTAAGTCTAGGTGGGGTTGTTATAATGGGGTCATTGAAACATCACGATAGGTTATCTATGATGTGCATGTTACCAGACAGCCAGTGAGAGCCTAACCTCCCAACTGAGAGGGAGTAGCAGGAGCTAAATAAATGTTTAATCAGCTAAATAGTGAAGTGGAACAAAAACAAACGAAGGTAAATAAAGAGAAGTCCTGAGGTGTGTCCAGAAAATTTAATTAAACAGAATTACAACAAATCCATCACTGGCAGCCAAAATATTTTAGTTTATTATTCTTGAAATAAATTTGCATTGTGGAGGATTTTGGATTAAGTCATTTCAAACGTTCCTGTTCCTACCTGTGTGTTGGACTATTGTTTCCCCAGGCTTTTATCTATTTCTGGAGTTAATTTCATTTAGTGTGACAGTTATAGCCACTTGGCCCTCAAGGTTTGTCTGACCAATAAGCTGCTTTACCAAACAAATGTTCTTCCAACTGCATGAGTGCCCAAAACAAACATGTAGCTACATGTGTCCTAAAAGGTTCATCATGTCTCTCTCTAAATACACCTATACATTAATATTATAGCCATGCTGACACTTTAAATACCTTGATTCATTGATTTGACTGACGTTTCATTGAATAATGCAGCTTAATCACAGATCTAACCTCGACGTGTAACGTCAAACATCCTATCTTCAGTATTTGGAGGAAGTTCACTGTCAGCACACTCTGTCCTTTTTCTCCACCGTTAGCTAACGTTAACCTTAATACACATTATCCCACACTTGAGGAGAGGAGGAAAGGTCAATAAGCTGATTTATCAAATGCTTTGAGCCAAACCTGTCTAAAACATGTTTTCATGTAGCTAGCTAACTGTCCGCATTATAGCGAAATGTAGCTGGCGAGGCTAACGTTAGCTAGCTTAGCTTTTCAGGCAACGTTATCGCGTTTTTTAAAAAAAGATAACAAGCAAACGTTACTCACCTCTACTTTAGCTGCAAGCTTCGTTGTGAAATAGAGTCGCCTTCATCCATTTCACGTTAAATTAACGTTACGATGTCACGTTGAAGAGCTAACGCCACTCTGTCGTGCCGTTTTATATTTTCCTCCATTGTGAATAACTCGTAAACATGTTTCTGGACTCGGAGTCCTTTCAAGCCCGCAGCAGGGCAGTTTATGAGCCCAAAAACACGTTCGCACACTTCACGTAGACTTCACAAATCTGTAAAAAAAACGAACTAGCCGTAGTGCTACAGGGAGGCCCGGTGCGCATGTTTTGGAGATCAGCGGTGAAATGTCAGTGCTCGCTTGGCTCCGCTGCCGCAGCTCTGGCGCCGCCTGGTGGACGTGACGTTGAGGTGCGCTGCAGCTGTCGCATGTAAACAAGGAGACAAGCTGCAAAATGATCAACGTAGCGTACAGTGAAAAGAGGAGAAACTTCATTTAACTTTGTCAGTCAAGGTTAATAAAAAAAAGCTGATTTCAAAGAGACCTGAAGAGGCGCTGCAAGATATTCAAGGGGAATTGGGAAACTCTCTCTCTCTCTCTCTCTCTCTCTCTCGGGGGCGTGTTCAAGAGTGCAGGTTTATCATTAACGTTACTGTTATTTGGTCGTGAGACACTTGTCAAACACCTGACTGCTCACAACAGCCCTTCAGCCTTTTACCAAGGTAAGAGAACAAATTAAACTTCTTCTTTTAGCCCCCTCAGAATCTGGCATACCGGTCTGCTTGTCAGATAAGTAATTTGAGTGAATTGTAAAGAAGTTTGAAAATGATTCTGGAGACAACTACGTTCAGTTTTAGAGTGTGTTAATTTTTTACACGCTGTAAATACTATAATCCCATATTTATAGACAAAACGCGTTTCCTTTGTGATAAGCAAGCTAACGAAACTGAAAGTGTGTTAACTATCCTCCTTTTGTGTTGGGCTTATTCGAAATGAAGAAAAAAAACAGGAACAAACCGCTAAAGGAAGTATTAAATACGAGAAATTAATGAAGAGGGAGCTGAGTCTCAGACCTTATTTGCATGTTTGTTTCTGGCTTAGTCTCAGTGAATTAAGTGCATTTAAAGAATGGGTTTAAATCAACTGAGGCCTGATTAATTTTTTTTTTACAGACATTCACAAATTCATGGACATGAAGACAAATCTGATCATGCTTATTAAACTTTCTGTTTCGTGTTTAGACCAATAGTTTCTGCAGGATTTAAAGCGTAGTTTCTGCAGGATGGAAGGCATAGTTTTTTTGTGGAGTGGAACAGGGAAATTCCACATGCCTTTCACTTTCCTTTTATTAATGGCCTCTGTGTCTCCCGCTGTGTGCAGATGCAGAAGTGGGTTGTGATCTGTTGGGCTGTCCTGGCTCTGGTTGGTGCTGATGAGTGTCCAGATGGGGGAAGATGTAAAGACGGTCAAACCTGCTGCAACAACCCGACCAACGGCTATGAATGCTGCCCGTTTGATCAGGTAGACGTGTTGGTACCACCTGCATGTTCTGCATTATATTTTTCCTGAGCAGATACACAAACTATTCACACATACTCTAGTTGCTGAAACTGACTTTTGTAGTAATCCTACTTTTTGGAATTAGTCATTTTGCTTAAAATGGAAATTTTGTGAGTGCAGATGATGTAGAGTCACATTTTCATTGTCACTGCACCAAATTTTGACCTTTTAAAATCCCCCATAAAATCTCCCCTAAGTAGCTTTAAAGTTATAAAAACATCACAAACAAGTGTAACACTGCTTGTTCCAACACATCAATATGTAAGATATTCAAAAGAAAAGATGCTTTTTTTTAGTACCAGAAAATAATTCACATTTGTTGCATCAATTTTTAACACTGCCTCCAAGTTTCACTCATCTTCTGTAAATCTAAATTAAATGTTAATAGTTTTTAAACAATGTTTGCGATGCACAACATGCATTTGTAATGATAAATCTGCTGCTGTATCTGACATGGTTTAACAATGAGATACTTTTTACTGTTACTTAAGTTGATTTGTGCAGGCTACCCTACAATGCAAACATGCAGTGACTAAGAGTTGTTGACATTCATTATGTGTATAAAATGTTTTAATAGAAATGTATCATTGCATAGAAAACAGCATGTTAGGTGTGCACTTAATACAAAACTCAACGCTACAATCAACTAATGTACACAGCTTGTTAAAACAGAGCCAAATCCAGCTAAAGCTAGCAAGAGGTAGCTTGATAACATGAAACCATGTTTTCTAAACTGCAGTTACAATTAACCTCTTTACATGATAAACCGCAGCAAAGTCATAGTGCTTTAACTTACAAAGATTATTGTGTCCCTTTGTCCATCACATAGTTAAATGTACTTATGATATAACCATTCTCTTGTAGTAATTCAGGCTGTATACAGTAGTACTATTCATGCTCAGTGGTGTTTTACTACTTTATGAGAGAGATTAAAGCTCACGCCTCATTTAGCCAGTGTGATAGTAGTTTTCAAAGTTTGGTAGTCAAAGTGTTCCTACTACTGCTGTCCTTGTAGGCTGAGTGCTGTGGGGATCACATGCATTGCTGTCCTGGGGGAACAATCTGCGATAGAGCCACATCCAGCTGTGTGAATGCTACTGTGTCCATCCCCTGGGTGGAAAGAGCTTCTGCAGATCAACCCAGACTCTCTAAAGTAAGAATAACGTGCGGTTGTTTTCATGAAATACCGAGTAAGATTTGGACGTATTTAAGGCCACTGTAAGATGGTTCCCCTTTCCCACCCTGTTCCTGCAGTCCTTCAGGATGATCAAGACATACATGGGAGAGGAAGACGACAACATCTGTCCCGATCAGTCACGATGCCCACCTGAGTTTTCCTGTCTGAGGGCTTTGACAAAGTTTGGCTGCTGTCCCCTAGCTCAGGTATCGAACCTCGTCTAACACAGATATAACATGCAACTTGTATCGATATATAATTTTCAAATAACAGGTAATATTTTTTCCCCCAAAAAAGTCAATGTCATTTAATTGACACACTTGAGAAACAAGAAACAAAAATGATGTCCATTGGTTAACAACTCATACAGTAATACTGGTTGTATTATAAGGGCACCTGTTATGTAGAGCTAAGATTTGTTTTCCAGAAGTTCAGTTACTTCCTGTTAGTGCAGAGACCAGTTGGTTTCTGTAGGATAGATAGATATGTAATAATAGGTTGACTGTATGTCAGCTTTAGATGTCTAACTATTACTGCCTTTTCATAGATAATATACATAAATGTAGAGTAAAATGATTATAAGAGGGAATGCATTTACGAAGTGAGTTGTTCTGAGTGATTTCTTGGCCCCTGACAGGGAATCCCCTGCTCTGATGGGAAACACTGCTGTCCTGAGGGCCACCAGTGCAGTTCAGACAGCCGGTCCTGCATCAAAAAAGGTGAAACTCTTCTACTTTGAGTTGGCTCGTTGTTGAAAGGTGCTGACCAAATAAACTTGCCATACTCTCATAAGTTGTTAACTGTAATCTCAAGGCCCCTAAACCTATCATAGACACATTTTCAAATGTAATGTTATGTTGCTACAGAGCTTGTGACTACAGTTCTGTGCGGCGACGGAGTGTCAGAGTGTCCAGATGAAACCACCTGCTGTGAAACCGTAGATGGCAAGTGGGGATGCTGCCCCATGCCAAAGGTACAAAAAGTCTGATATTTTCATTACAGACACACACACATACACACACACGGTGACAGTTTTAAAATGCTAGTGTTATTCCATAGAATAATTCACTTTATGAATGAGAATAAAAAAGTCAAATGATGGATTTGCATGTCCTGCCTTGATGTCTGGTTATCGTGACTTTATGGCGTGTTAGGTATGGTTCTTATGTGATACTCAGTGGGTGTCTATTGTCTAAACAGGCTGTGTGCTGCGATGATAAGACACACTGCTGTCCTGAAGGGACCTCATGTGATATTGAACACAGTAAATGTATTTCCTCATCAACCAAAAAAGATATGCCGATGTGGGCCAAATTCCCTGCTAGGATGAGAGCAGAGTGGGAGAACAAGAAAGGTCAGATTTGTTTTTGTCTTCTTGTACAGCCCTATTTCACTTCCTCATTTAAGATTTATCATGGTCTAAAACTGAATGTGCGTTCATGCAGCTTGATCTGTGTGGCTTTCCACTTTCAGAAGGTGAACATGTTACAGCACGGACAGTTCACGATGGCGGCTCTGAAAAAGTCCCTGAAGTCACCCCAGTGAATGCAGTTCCTCCTCCAGAGAAGGAAGTGTCCGTGTCATCTGTTACTAAGGCAGCTGCAGGTTAGCTGTTGAGATGCAAAATTCCTCATAGATGTTTCTGTAAGATTCAGATGTTTTGATCCACAATAAAGGTTTAAAGTATTTTCTGACAGTTAAAGGTACAAATCTACCAACAGACCTTTCTCACAGACATTTTGATTTAGTCGCATGAACAATTTCTGCATTCCATTTAATGTAGGTGTGTCAGTGAGTGCATGACTTTCTGGCGCAAATAAATGTTGATGTTTAAAAGATTTCCTGCTATGACTGGACAACATTTATACTGTGGGAAAGACCTATCAAGGCTACAAGTACAGCAGTATTCTTCCTGCATGCAGTAGGTATGCAATGGTATCATGTTTTGGTAAACTGGAGCAAGAGGTTTAACTAGTTTTATTTTCCAAAAGCATGGGTATGCCTAATGTCTAGTAGCCAAAAAAAAACAACCTTTAAAATGTTGTCCAGATTGTAGCTTTACCTGTGTCAATATGTTACAATGCTTGTCAGTGCAGTACATTTAATGTAAAAATTAAAGATGCCCTGTGGAGAACTTACGAAAGTTATGTTAACAACCTTGGTAATTCCTTTCGCGGCGGACATTTTTAACTCATCAAGACAAGGAGTTAATCAGAAAAAGCACATAAGCGCCATAGACAGCAATGACCTGAACTGCAGCACACAGAAATACAATTAGGAGGCTCACTATTGCCTGATGTGACATGTGCTGTACCTTTTTTATCATCATTTTTGTACTTTAAAGGTCAATTTTGTTCACTTGGGAGATATGAATGTACTTATCTAATATAGGGTTACAAAAAAGTATTATCAAAATAGCGGACATATAATACCTGGACTGTATGATCACAGATTTCACATTTGTAGGAAATGTTTCTAATGGTAATTTCTTTCCAGGGAATGATGTCCCGTGCGATGATACTGTAGCCTGTCCTGATGGCACCACCTGCTGTAAGACCCAAGAGGGCGGCTGGGCTTGCTGTCCTCTCGTAGAGGTACAGTTTTAGCTACCAATTTTTCACAGTCCTGACACTGATGTTAAAGGTGTTGCCAGCGTATAAATGTTTTTTCATCCTTCTCGTCATGTCGTTCCTAGGCTGTTTGTTGTGAAGATTTCATTCACTGCTGCCCAAAAGGTAAGAAATGCAACCTGGCTGCACAGACATGCGATGACCAAACATATTCTGTGCCGTGGGTCAAGAAGGTACCCGCAATCCCCAGGCAGGGCGCAAAGGTGGGGGATGTTGCATGTAACGCCACCGCCAGTTGTCCTGATGGCACCACCTGCTGTAAGACCAAAACTGAAGAATGGGCCTGCTGTCCTCTACCTGAGGTAAACACACAGCAAACCAGTTTTTAAAGCATCAGCTTTTAGAATTTAGCAGCTGCCAGAAATGTAAAACTCACCATTTCCTGAGAATTTTCATCTGGACAGACCTATGAGATGATGAGTGTTTAGAAACACAATACATACTGTAGCACATGCAAATAGTTTTAACAATGTGAATCATATTTATGTTGAAATAATGGGTAATCCAATGTTGTAAGATAGGAATTTATGGGAATTTATTCACATGAAAGTATAACAAACATAAGCGTATTCCTTTTCTTGCTGAGCGTTTGACGAGAAGTTCGATAACCAGCTGCTGGCTGTAGCCTTTTATTTAAAATACATAAGTGGTAGCTTCTCCCAAATTTCCCAAAACATTGAATTGCTATTCCTTTTTCAGTGAGTGTTAACACACTTTTCAGCAATAATTTTGTCTGCCCTTAAACTTAGGTTTACTTAGACTAACAAGTCTAACAACCCTCACCGTAATGCCAATTCATACATCCAACTTTCACTTAATGTTTGTGACCGAACGTATTTTGCTGTTTTGTTCAAAAGGCGGTCTGTTGTGATGACCATGAACACTGCTGCCCTACTGGGACCACGTGTGACCTGACCACGTTTACCTGTACGAGCACAGGCTCAACACCCATGCAACGTAAGATACCTGCATTTGCCACGGCGGCACCGGCTACAGTGGCGACTTCAACCCAAAGTACAGTAGTGACAACCAGGCAGCAAAAAGAGGAGGAGAAGAAGGAGCCTGTACAGGACAAGGTGATGACTGAGAAGGAGGATAAAGAAGGGAAGGGCGGGATTCACTGTGATGCCCGCACCAGCTGTCCTGAACGCACCACCTGCTGCTTCATGGTCTCGTCTAAAAAGTGGGGCTGTTGCCCGCTGCCAGAGGTGAACACTGCTTCTTTACATCACTGACCTCCAGTAACACTGAAATATACAGCTGCTAAGATTTAACTGCCTCATAGCATAAAATGTAGTGTTAATTTTGTCAGCCCTTTTAAAATTTAGTCTTAATCTTTGTCCTGTGTCAAATGTCCTTGTTAGTTTTTGTCATATTAGGTCCACTGTATTATATATCAAGTTTTATTTGACTAAAAGTCTAATATAATTAATACAATTGGGCACTCTGTTTTTTTGTCTGCCTCACTGTATTTGAAATGGGACCAAATATCCAATAATAGAACCTGCAATGCAATGTAAATATAGAAGAAACCTCTGTGTTGTTCAAAAAAGTACCTTAAGCAAAAAATAATAATAAGCTACTGATTACTGCAATATATTTAATTATATTTTTATTTTGTGAATTGTCACTTGCCACCTGAATTTTAAATTGAATTCCACCATAAATTTGTGCAGAAAATGTCTCCAGAATGCAGGCAATTAAGTGTTTAATGCTAAAAATCTTCTGGGGGAAAAACCCCCACACCCCCTATCAAATATTTCATCAATAAATATTTTTCCGAAATAGTAGCCTATTAAAAAATATTCTTGTCTTGTTGTCATGGCCCCAATCTTGTGCAAAGTCACGTCTCATGGGCTAAGTGTTTCGTCACACCCCTAATCCGAGCCTTTAAATGGAAGGATGGTGTATTGGTGTCTGACCAATTTTGGTGGGTCACCTGGGCCAAAAATGCCAGGGATGTTTTTTTGTCCCAGTCCAGCCCTGAAAGGGGTCATACAATTAGAGACTATCTGGTGATCAGTTAGCGGCTAAAGTGGCAGATATTTCCCCACGTAGTTGGTGGAGACCAAAAATAGAGTTAAAAGAGAGAGGACACTGGACTTATCTTCATCAGGTGACACAAACACGACAACAAATGAGCGATCATATTCCCCCCATAGATTAAAATAGTTGTTGATTAATTTTCTTTCATTTCATTGACTCTACCTATCATAAACTGTGTACAGGACGTTGATCAACACCAAACAGCTCAGCAGTTGATTAGCCAGTTGTTTGGCATTTAAAACTGGTTTAAAAGGATTGTGATCTTTCACGGAAATAACCACACCTACACCTCAAACGTATTGACAGTGTAGGACGGTACAGCAAACAACTGAATGGCATCACTTTCTCAAACCCCAAGAGACAAATGACGTGGTAATATATTTCCTTTTCTGGAGTGGCATCTGTACTCTCTTCTTTGTTAAAACTATTTTATTTCCATCACCCTCAGGTTACAATCATTAGCTTAATTCCTTAAGCCTGACCCTCCAGTTATAGACTCTGCAGATTAGTTACTGCACTTTTACTTGTGGAAGATCACTACATGCTCATGTTTTTCACGAGTCTATTCAAAAAGAAGAACTGGAAATAAGCTTGGGTGATGTGAAAGCAGAATGTCCGCTCTCACTTCTCCCCAGGCGGTGTGCTGCGCTGATGGAAACCACTGCTGCCCCACCCACTACAAGTGCAACGAGAAAGAGACCTCTTGCGTCAAAGGAGAAGTGGTGATTCCCTGGTACACCAAGCTTCCAGCCACCACCAGCATCCAGGCTGAGTCCAGCGCTGTGCAGTGCGACGACGATCAGAAGCAATGCCCCGAACACACCACCTGCTGCCAGCTGCCCACGGGCGAGTGGGGCTGCTGCCCGCTACCAAATGTGAGCTCTCTGTGTGTGTGTGTGTGTGTGTCTGTGTGTAGAGAGATTACCGTGACGAGTGCAGCTACTTTGACGTGAAAAAAATAACCTGCACTATCAGCGTACCTTAGCTTTTATAGTCAAGGTTTGCTTATGTAAAATAATTGATGTCATTTTCACTAACCCTGTGCTGTGTCTGCAGGCTGTGTGCTGCCCAGATAAGGAGCACTGCTGCCCACAGGGTTACACCTGTAACAGCGCCTCTAACTCTTGTCAGAAGGTCATCATGCTGCAGCTGGAGACTCTCCCGCTAACACAGGTGTTTCTGCCCGAGCACCAGCCCCGGCTCAGTCCCTTAAAGCACAGAAACGTCCCGTGTGATGAAACTACCAGCTGCGAAGATGGACAAACCTGCTGCAGGACGTCCGCTACTACATGGGGCTGCTGTCCATTTCCTGATGTATGATATACAGTAAAACCTCCAACCTTTTGTGTTTTGGAAAATACTCTTACTCGCTTTCTTGCTGAGTCATATGAAAGGACTGATACCACTCTTATGTCTATATAATAAAAACAAGAAGCTACAGCCTGCAGTTGCTTAGTTTAGCGTAGCTTAGCATGAAGACTGACTGTAGTGCTACTTTAAAGCACCTGATTGTTCAGTGTGTTACATTCTTTGCTTTTTCTGTCCTCTCCACAGGCGGTGTGCTGCAGCGACATGAAGCACTGCTGTCCCGCCGGCTACACCTGTACTGAAACTGGAGACTGCACCCAGAACACCAAGCTCACCTGGCACAACTGGCACGTGTTCTTCGCCAACAGAAAGAGAGCGCTGATTGTGTGAAAACACTGTACTGTTAATTGTTTCTGCATGCAACGCACTAATGGAAAATAATTGAAAGGGATTTTATGATAATTTTTAAATGCTTTGTTCTTAGAGCATCGTAGTAATGAAGAAGGAGATTGAATTCCACTTGGGGTTAAGATGTAATGTTCATAGGTCATTAGTATTATTAAAATACTAATGACCAAGTTTTCTACTTGAAACTCGACTCCATCCATAAAAAACAACTGAAACACTCCTTAGGCAATATGATTTTATTAATTCAGTCATCTGTTTCTGTACGTTCTGCTTCAGCTGCCTTGTGTTACAACGTGCACTTCGCTATCAATAATCAGACACAATGTGGGGAATAATTTTACATATGATCTAATATACAAATATGAATCTGGTGTGGCACAGTTTCCTGGTCAGTACTTGGTTTATCCAAGTGTTTAGATATATGTGGCATAATTTGTAATGATTTCTTGATTTGTCATCTTTCCTGGAATGAAAACTAATAAACAACATTTGATGTTACAGTACAACTTGTCAAATCATTCCTATCGTACTGTAGTAAGGCATTTGTTTCAATCAAAAGAAACAAGAGTGGCATAAATAGAGACTATTCATTAAATGGCCCTTATATTCATGTTTCACTGCAAATTAATAAACAATAAAATAAAATTCCTTATTTTTCGCTGTCTGGCAACAGAAATATAAATGTGTAAATAAATCACTTGTTAAATAAAGAAATGACACTACATCTTACTGTAAATTATGACAAAAAAAAATATGATTTTTCTGAACCTTACTTCCGGGATGGAAACCACTTTTTAGGCTGGCGTTGTACTGTTAAAGGCTCTTTTGACGTCAGTCTTTTTTTTGTGACTTTATTATTTGGGTTTATCCATAGACTGTACATAAAGGGTTTATCGGGCCTCCCCTTTGTGAGCAGAGTAAATCTCTGTTGAAATGGAAATCGAAGCTTCCGATTACACAATTCAAAATAAAAGCCTAAAATGGGGAAACGTTTTTCAGAATAAGCTTTATTTGCTAAGTATGTGTAGTCATCATAGACTGTATAAAAAGGTACACATACAAGGCATTTGATTTCGGTTTTAAGTTGTTCATTGTACTTACACACAACTTTTAAAAAAAAACACAGCTAAAAGAAAATATAGGTCAAATTAAACAGAAGCATTATGTAGCTACATACAAGCATATAAAAATCAACAATGACCAACAATAAGACAATTAAATAATAAATATAATAAACATCAATCCCACAAAGACATTCATGTTACAACAGGACACAGGCTTAGAGGTGAGAAAACTGAAAAAATACTCTTTGAATAAAATCCATTAAATATTATAGAGAGATCACATTAAAAATCTATTACAGAATCTTAAGCTGTACAAATGAATTGTGTAAATATTTGTACACAAAACAAAATCCATTAATGCAACCCCGGCAGCCATAATGTGTGTACTATACAAAATATATTTATAGGTAATATGTGTATAAGCATGAATAATGAATACAATAAGAATGTATTTTAAGGTGTTATTTATAATGTATATATATATGTAGTTTGTAATACCACACACTATACATCATGTGGAACTGTATGTAGCTGAATTAATTAACGTTTTTATAAACTTTGGACAACATATTACTTAATTTATTAAAATCTTAAACATGAGAGCTGATTTATATGGAAGCCCTATCCATTCCATTCAAATGATTTTTTTACAATCAATAACGATCATTTTCTCATGATCTTGAGATAACAAACCATAGCCGAATACAGGGCTCGGCAGGTGCTTTTCTTTAGGATACTTTCGGGAATATTTCTGGTCTCAGTGTCTAGCTCAGTTGGTAGAGCACAGGACTTCAAATGACTGCGTTTTCAATTCCCACTTTCAACGGTTTTTTTTTCCTTCTTTTGTGTGTGGAAAAGCAGTATAATAGGTCTCCTTTAAGTCGGGATCAAAAAAGACACCCTTTGACTGTAAGACCCTCTTCTCCACCAATTGAGCTGGCCAGTGACACTGAAAACGCTCCTGCCGACACCTATGATGAACTTCCTTATCTCGAGATCTCAAGATAATTATCCTCTTATCACTGGAAAACGGAGTAAGAAAGATATTTGAATGGATGGCTACTTAGGCCTTCTGTAGATTTAAGACATTTACCTAAAATAATATGCCCCCATTATTTATATGATTTCACAAAACATCTAATGTGTTTACGTCAATAGTTTCAATGAAAATCTAAATTTGTGTTCAGGGACATGCCATATGCTTTTTCTACATACATTTATTTATTTGAATGTTATCAATGAATGTAGTTTGTGAATATTATCATTTTGCTGATTATAGTTTATAGACCAATCCCAGAACTCCTGGAGTGAAGAACAAAGGTTAGCCAGTTCATTTCAAACTGCAGGTACCATTTAATGTTTGTAGTGATAAAACCTGTAGATGTCCGGCTACATGACGTTTGAGAGCTCACAGCCATCCATTTTTGAACCACATGTCAGGGTGTCTTTTTTTTTGTCTAGAGACAAATGAACTATATGTTCATACATTTTTAAGATTTAAGATTTTAATTGTATGAGTATTTTTAAATTCCACCTGTGACACCAAACGGCTACATCGCTAACGTTTGAGGGACGCTTTTATTTTGAAGTAAACCGTGCTAATTTCCGGTATTTTCCCAGTCAGCTTGACGTGTCTCCGTTTTGACGTATGAATCATCCTTACCAAGATGGCGAGCCACCTGTTCCTCCGGTGGTGATCCTTGTTGTTGTCTGCGCAGCGGAGGAAAGCAAAGCATCTGGAAGAGACTGTTAAGAAACTGGCGACGTACTGAAACAGCTGGAGTAAACTCGGTCGTCCAAAATGTCCACCGAGGAGCTGTCAGCCTCGGACAGCGAGGCTGCTTTCGCCGGCGCAGGGGAGCGATGGGCACCGGTGGGCGCTGTGGCCAGTCCCGAGGAGGAGAGCGGGAGCGCAGGGCAGCCGACGCAGAGAAGCTCGTCCCCGGCCACGGAGGAGGAAATGGCCGTCAGGCTGGAGAAGCTGGAAGAGGAGCAGGACTTGCTGAACTCCTCTCTCCTCGCCCTCACCTCACACTTCGCTCAGGTGCAGTTCCGACTGAAGCAGATAGTTCACGCCCAGAGCGAGGAGAAGGAGAGGATGCTGGTCGAGCTGGAGGAGTTCGCCTTCAAGGGCTGCCCGCATGTTGTGGGCTGCAGGGCTCAGGATGCCAAACAGCTGGAGAACTCGGTGAGGCTTCTGGTCATGATACCGCAACACGCAACCGCCTTGATCCTACACACCGGAGTGCATGCCGGGAAAATATAACAGGCGTCAAAAACAAGTGATGGAAGGTGTTCCTATTTTAATGACCCCTTTAGATTTGGGTCTGTTTTTCTATTTCCTGTGTCAGATTGAGTGATTGATGGGTGATGATTTGTCGATTAATCGGTTTGTCAATAAACTGCAGCTGTTCTGATAATCGATAAATTCTTTAAATTAATTTTTAGGCCTGTGTAACATTTTCTACTGCCAGCCTCTTAATTGAGAGGATTTGGTGCTTTTGTGTCTTGTGTGACGATTAACTGCATGTTTTTCTATTTTAGTTGGACAAAACAGGCCATTTGCAAATGTCACACAGGGATTTATAAAATAATTAAATAAATAATAAAATAATTTCACTCTTTTCTGACAGTAATAATAAATAATTGTCGGATTAATAAATGATCAACATGGTCAACATTCACCTGTCAGTCGAGCAGATCGTCACTCAGATATTTAACACTCATGCACAAACAAAGTTGGATACAAAGACGTGGACACTCGCTAAAATATACAGATATAAATGCACACACAGTGAGTCTTTTGTGGTGTTAAACCGTCGCCTCAGTGGCTGTGACCTTTCTTTATTAAAGCTGATTAAAGTGTGCTTGTTGCGTCACACAGGAGGCTGCTGCGCCCACCTCTGTTTTGTTCCCCGAGACCTCTTATCTCCATTGGAAAACTGTGTGACTCACAGGGCTGCAGGCTCAATAAAAATGCCTCCAGCAGATCACTATCTGTTAAATAAAGGCTTCTGTGTACACAACGGTGTTGAAGCAACCTGCTTTGTTCTCAGCATTGTTTACTCCCTTCCTCTTTGCATTTAGTTTTAACCGACGCCTTGGCCTCACGTAATAATTGTTTGCATATATTGATCATCATCTTCCCCAACCTAAAGGTCTTTTTTTATGTCATTTCTCCCTGGTCACATGCTTTACTTGCAGGGGGATCTGGTAAGTATGATACCTGACGTCTCTTTGAGAGTTTGTGTATTTTGTGTAAATGTTGTGACAAAAGTTATAAAAGGTGCAGCTGACTGAATAAGAAAACTGCCGCTCAGACCTACAGTAAGCCCATTCGTGCTCGTTGTATATCAAACTTTAATACATTTTAACTGCAAAACACTGGTTAACAACTGTTGAGTGAATTTTTTTCCCCCTTACAATCTTAAATATTGACATTGGCATCAGGAGCAGAAATCCCACATCGGTTAAGACCTGGTACACACTGTTCACTGTGTTATGGTGGTCACTCAGCGCTGCCTGTCTGTAGAAATTAAAATCATTGTGTATGTTTCTGCTGTCAGAGTGAGAGGGAGAAGAGGGAGCGCCTGGAGGCTCAGAGGGAAAAACAGAAGGATCTCATTTTCCAGCTGAAGACACAGCTGGATGATCTGGAGCGCTTCGCCTATCAGGAGGGCAGCTACGACTCGCTGCCGCAGTCTGTTGTCATGGAGAGGCAGAAGGTGGGAACGTGGAAACGCACCAGTGCAGTTTTCTGGACCTGAACTGGTTTCGGTCCTGTCACAAGTTGGTGTGTCAGATTAGCTACAGGTTTTCTGATCATCCGTCAGTCATTATACTTTTTAGGTCATCTTAGAGAAAGTGACGACTACATCCTCCCAAATGAGACGCCCCAACTGAAACAATCTACCAGCTTGTTCTAACTCCAAATTATCGTTACTCGCATGTTATGTTGAGCACATAATGTGATGTTTGCCTGTTTCAGATCAGGTGTAACAAGTCAAATGTCTGTTCTTCACATGCTTCAGGCTTTAGTGTTAGAAAACAGTTCTGTTTCTCATATAGAGAAGTTGTTTGAAAAGCCTATCCAAATACATTTGACCCACTCAAAACCTGCTATTATAATCTTTCTATGATTACTCCTTTCCTTTTAAAAAGTGTAGATTGGCTAAAAATTTGACCTGATTGGAACGGCATGCTGATGGTTAGCAGGAATAATGTTTACCATGTTCGCCATCTTAGTTTAGTGTGTTTGCATGAAACATTTGCTAATTATCACTGAACACAAAGTACAGTGGAGGTAGATGGGAATGTTAGTTTTGCTAGCCTTTTGTTGCAAACCAAAGGATTGGCTGAATAGGATGATGGCGCTAGATGAAAAGTCTGGAGATTAAAGTCATTCCAACATTTCATGGCAATCCATCCAATATTTGTTGAGATATTTCAGTTTGGAACAAAGTGGTGGACACACCGACATTCCCATCCTCAGAGCCGTGCTGCTGGCTAAAAATGACTTCCCTAATGAGAAGTTAGTTTGTGAATGCAGTGCTGTGACCATCTATTTAGAGGATAGCATGGTAAGAGAACCACTAAGAATATACAGCTGCAGCATATAGATTGTCTACTTGTGGGAAACAGTGGTGTAGCTGACAATACGTCTATATTCCTTAACCTTCAGCATGTCTTACTTTTTTCAGGTCATCATTGACGAGTTGATTAAAAAGCTGGACGTGAACCTGAACGAGGACATCGGGAACTTGTCCCCCGAGGAGCTGAGACAGAGAGTGGACGCTGCCATTGCTCAGATAGTGAACCCAGCCAGGGTCAAAGAGCAGCTGGTGGATCAGCTCAAAACCCAGATCAGAGACCTGGAGATGTTCATCAACTTCATCCAGGGTACACATCTCATTTCATTCAAGTGGATTCCTGTTTCGTTTCAGTGCCTGCTATTTTTATTTCAAAATTGTCAATATTTACAAATCATTTAATGAATGACTTTGCTTTTCCTTCCAAAAGATGAAGTGGGGAACCCTCTCTTATCAGACGGTGGACACAGCCAGCAGCCACAGGCTGCGGGGACCAATCCCAGAACTCCTGGAGTGAAGAACAAAGGTTAGCCAGTTCATTTCAAACTGCAGGTACCATTTAATGTTTGTAGTGATAAAACCTGTAGATGCCCGGCTACATGACGTTTGAGAGCTCACAGCTCCGTGCTCAAAAATATCAATAATTCCATCCATTTTTGAACCACATGTCAGGATGTCTTTTTTTTGTCCAGAGACACTTCTAATAAAGATCTGGCTTAATCCCTGAAGTGTTGAACTAATGTTTGTAAAGATGAATTAACTGCTAAACTCTTAGTTCACTAGAGGTGGTGATCAAACCCACCAGTCCAATATAAGCACATTCTTTTGGTTCTCCACCTCTCACTGCAGTGGACCCAGAGCAGGCCCAGAAGATAAGACAGACCGGCCTGCAGCTGATCCAGAAGGCCCTCGCCGTGCTGCAGATCTTCGCTGCGAGCCAGTTCGGCTGCGCGCCCGGCCATGTTCCTCAGAGCATGTGGAGCCAGGAGCCTTCAGGGCAGGACTACGGGCCCCTGCTGCAGCGTCTAGAGGCAGCTGTTGAGAAGGTGCGAGTGTTGGGCTCCTGCAGACAGCCCTCCTTTGAGCATGTCGTCAACTACACCAGCAACATGGCGCTGGGACCTCGAGACGAGCTGACGACGTCTGTGAGGAAGGAGCTGTCTATTGCTCTGAAAGACTTGTTGGCTCATGGCCTCTTCTCACCCTCCCAGACCATGAGCCTGGTGCTGGCCCCCATCTCCTGCCTGCTGCCTTACAGACCAGCCCCACAGACCATGCACCCATGGGAACTCTTTGTTAAGTACTACAACTCCAAAAATGGGAAGGCCTTTGTGGAATCACCAGCTCGCCAGCTTTCACAGTCCTTCAGCCTGCCTGTAGGGGCCGGCCCCGTGACCGTCACCCCTAAACAGTCTCTGCTGTGGGCCATTCACACTGTGCTGAAGGAGCACGGGCGCTACAAACGAGGACCAGACACAGAGTTCAAAGCGCTGGTGTGCATGGCTCTGAACGAGCAGCGGCTGGTGTCGTGGCTCAACCTGCTGTGTAAGTCTGGGACTCTGATACACCCACACTACCAGTCCTGGAGCTACATGGCCCAGACCGGCTTCGAAGGGGCACTGCGAATCCTGGGTCGCATCAGCCACCTCAAATTCAACCTCCCAGTGGACCTTGCTGTTCGGCAGCTGAAGAACATAAAGGATGCTTTCTGAGCGGTGACCAAAAAGGAAACGGATCTAACACAAGTAAACAAACATCAGTCTCAGAAGTATTTTATTAGCTAAACTCCGCTGCTCTCAGCTGGCATTCAGGACCAAAAGCATGACTTTGTGCTTCAAGTATGTTACCTTTTGGAGGTTATCCAAGTAGCCACCCAAGTAAAGTGAAGTGCAAGTATGTGATGTCTGCAGTACATGCATGGATGACTGTGTTATGTGAGCTTTAGCCATAAGCAACCATAATCTGCATATGTTTAAGATGCCAAAATGTCAAGACGACAATGCTACTTGTACTGTAAACATGCCTTAGAATGGAGATTGAGATTACCTCATCTTTAGTGAAGCCTTCCTGACCTTTGCGACCTGTGCCCATCATACAGTATCATTCCCCTGCGTACAGGATAGTGTAACCTATGCAGCAAAGAGAGAGGTGTTGTGTTTGTACAGTAATCAGTACTGTAACGCGGTCGGTTGAAGAAAAATAACGAGCAGAAACACTTCTCGATACTGTGGCTTCTACACAGTAACCAAGAGCGTTTGATGTGATGCTCCATTGTTCGCAGTGAAAAGTAGACTTCTCTTACGGAATTGATTATTTAGGTGGTAAATCATGTGTAGCAGATTAGTTGATCTAAAGCAAAACAGCAGCACTCAGGTCAACTTGAAATTAAAAATGTTTTACAGTTTCCATAATGATGCACGGGGTAAAGTGTTAGCAAGTGTTGTGTTGCATTATGCAGCTAATATGCGCTCTCGACTCCATTTTAAAGCTCTGAAGCTGTTATCACTTGGTGTGTGAACAACAATTAATCCTTGTAGGAACTGCTGCTTTTCTCCTATTCCAGCTTCCAGGTAACATTAAATGAGTGATATTATATGATGGGAATTTCTTGAATGATGTACTAGCTTACATCCCATATGTAATATGATTGTTGGATATAAAAAGTTTAGTTTTATTTCCTTTTTTTTTCTAGAGAAATTAGTTTTTATCTTCCTGTGACAGCTGAGTTGCACACTCAATATCCCTAAATACTGAATGTACAAACCATAGATGCTATTAAACCGAGGTTAGTTCATATCTGCTGTATGTTTCCCTGCTGTTAATGGGATTGAAACTTCAGTGTTCCTGGGACCGCATGTATGTATCAAACCTCTTGAGAGTTGGCATGCTGATTAAAAGATCATTGCGTGTGTATTTCAGATAAAAACCTGATTCCAAAACAGTGCACTTTGTGACTTGAGTTCACCCGGAGACACATTTCATCGTTTATTTCATGTTGCTGTGTAAAATGGAAACTTTGTGTTCTGTTGGCGCAATGTGTAGTCAATATAATGCTATATTTTGCTTCCTGTTTTCCCATTTTTGTTGTGTTTAGTTCAGCTGTTATGTTGTGATTTACGTAAAGAGACATTTATTTATTGCATAGCATGTTTAGCTCAACTCTGAAGTAGGTAGAACATATCAGAACACTAGTCTGGGAACAATTACACACGCTGAATCAAATTGTTCTATTTATGTTATTTTTAGTTAATTGCTTTAATCACAAATAATATAGAGAACTGTGTTTTTTTTAATTTATCATGTTTAATGTATACCTGCAGATGTAAACAAATTAAACATAGTAAATTAACCACTGTGCTGCTTATGAGTCTCCTTTTAAATTTGAAAGAAATCAACAAACTTTGCTGGATGTGTTTTGTTTTAATGGATTCCTCAACTTTATTTGAACACGTTTCACGCAGAACAGGAGTCACAGAATATCCTGAATAAAACATCATTGCATTTGTTAAATAAAAATTCTTCCATGTTGATTTCAGTTAATTGAAAATAAAATAAATAACTAGAGGACTATATATCTATCTCTAAGATGGAAGAGACTCAGAAAACCTTTGATTGATTTTAAATTGACCAAATAAAAGTTAAAGTTGTATTTTCTTGTTCTTGTTTTTTAATATAAAATAACATTTCTAAGCTTCTTCAATAGTTGTTGTGTATGAACACTATTGCATCTTTATCTTTACAAAAATTGTTGGGGACTACAACTCTTCAATAAAATATGACAACATATAAATTTGTGGGATAATGTACAATAAAAGTTTTTGCAGTGTATTCAAATTGTATTTGCAATAACAAATTTACATTAAATAGGTCATGTTTTCTGCCGCAAATATCAGTTTCACACACATTTTCCATGTGGAGTACTTTTCTTTTTTCTGTAAAAATAATTCCTTATATATTTTTTTATGTTTATATTTTTTTGTTAGGAAGTATTGGGCGAAATAATGATTTAATTTAATCAAGTACAATTAAAGGTACTTGCACTTCACTTGAGTATTTTTACTTTATACTACTTCACTTCATTCTAGAGACAACTATTGTACTTTTCCCTCCACAACATTTATTTGATAGCTAAAGTCAGACATACTTGACATACTTGTTAATGTGATCATTTTATTAAATACAATTCATTGTTATGGATTAAACTACCCAACAGGATATAAAGTTACAAGCTACAACATTGGATGCTGCGTGTACTGTAATGCATTCCAATAATTAATCTCACACTGACAGAGGGTTATTCTAACGAGTACTTTCACTTTTGATACTATTTGATACTATAGTATACAGTATATTGCTGTGAATACGTCTGTATTGCAGGACTTTTACCTGACGTGGAGAAATTGCCACAATAGACAGCAAGTCCCAATTAGAGTCCCTTTTACTGGCCCAGTGTGGTTTTGACAAATAAACGCAGGTCTCAATTAGAAGCCTGGTCTGGTTTTTATAAAAGTTTTTTGGATGTGTAAAACCTCTTAAAGCCCACTGAGTCACCTGCTTGAGCTACTTATAAGCCAGTGGTTCTCAAACTTTTTCACATCAAGGACCCCTAAACTGAGAAAATTAGACCTCGGACCCCCATTTGATAAGATTTTGTCCCAGGACCCTTCATCTGAAAGGATTTTTAGACGTTTTATTACAGAAAGTGCATGAAACCCAAGTAGTTAACATTGGGTCATTGTGTTACTTATGGATGGAATTATACTGAAAATAAATTATTCACCATTTAGCTGGGGACCCCCTGCAACCCCCTCAAGGACCCTTGGGTGTCCCTGGACCCCACTTTGAGGACCACTGTTCTAAGCTGCTGAGATCGTGCATACCAATATAAATGTTTAAACTTTTGTCAATGTGGACGTGCTACACATCGTTAGGTCGGTTAGATTCTCCACAATTCAGTAGTTTAGGTTGTTTTAGAGAAACAATGAGCACCAAAATATTATTCATTCAGATTTACGGGCATGACAAAGGAATTAAAGGCCTGTCCTATACAGACACCTGTCCAAAATATAGGCAAGGTCAGTTTAATTATTGAAGCAAATAAAAGCCTGGGCTATTAATGTTAAATTGGATTAATACAAACTTTTTAAAGATACTGACACCATTTTACATACCTTTACTTCACCCAAAAATCTACTGATGGACTCCAAACTGCCCAGAACTCGGTTTCGACCAGAACAAAGAAAAAGGATCACATCACCCTCGTTGTAGCTTCATTATACTGGCTCCTAGTATGTTTCAAAATAGACCTTAAAATTGTAATACTTCATGGCCTATATCCCTGTTCTATCTTCTACCACGTACCTTATCTATTTTACATGTTTTTATTGTCATTGCTCTTGTTTAAGCACTTTACATTTATTCATTTAGCTGACGCTTTTATCCAAAGCAACTTACAATTGCCATATATGTCAGACGTTTGCATGCCTTGGGAGCAAGTGTCTTGCTCACGGACACAATGGTGGATGGTCACAGTGGTCCAAAGGTATAATCTTATCCATTGCGCCACCACCACCCGTTTGTTACATGATTTTGAAAAGTGCACCATAAATAAAGATTATTCATGGTTTTGTGTTATAATTTATTTATTTTACGGTTTAGTTTTACAGTATGTCCGTCTTGTGATATAATTTGCATCTCATAAGTGATGCATTTTTTCTATTTTTAAAAAAATGTATCATCCAAACAGTCGGGACTCTACACCCGGAAGTGACGTGTGTTGCCCGGTGGGGTCAAAGTTGACAGAAACCTCCTCTACTTCCTTTCCTGTTAGCGGTGGCCGTAGAACAGCATCAGTGAGTGAATTTCCCTTGAAACAATCTTCAACCATCGCCCCAAATCTGGTCATTTTTACAGTTTTTATCATACCACACCTGCGAGAATCACTCCGTTAGCTAAGATGTGAATGTTATTTTGGTGTATTTTAATTGACTTAAGAAGAAAATAGAAATTTACTGCAGCGCTTCGTCTCCGCAGAGCTCATTTCAACATGGCAGCTTCCTTGATGTAGACGCACTGTGTGCATGTGAACCGTCTGTGAAACGGCTTCACTTTATATATTCAGACTGTGTATAGAGCTTGTTATTGTCAGAATAACTTCACCAGCGGTAACAGCATCCATAGCTGGTGTAAGACTGAGAGGATCAAGATATGGAAGTTGTTTGGAAGCAGTTTCCTAGCTGGAGGCTAATGCTAACTTAGCCGACTAGTCCAGCAGTAACGACTAGAAACTTCCACCAGATTTCAGTGTTTCTCTTAGGCAGGTTCACGTCACTGTTACTTGTGAAGTGTTGAATTTGCTGTGGTGACACAGGGGTTGACCGTGTTTTCTTTGTGGCAGAAATGGGCAAGTTCATGAAGCCTGGGAAGGTGGTGATGGTCCTAGCTGGACGCTACGCCGGGCGCAAGGCTGTCATCGTCAAGGTACAACATCTCTTCTCTGGGTGGATGTTACCTGCATTTTAATGAGTCAAATCAACCGTGGGGCTGATTACCATGAATATATATACGTGCTTAGAGTGGATGTATACAAGGCCATTCACCCTCAGGCCTCCTGGGTTGATCTGTAATCAATGTACTGGAATAGTCAGTAACTCTTTATCAAATTTAAAATCTCAAGTATGTTCAATTGCAGTAATTACAAAGCATCAAAGATGTTTTGTTGCTCTCTGCTTGATATCAGTTCCTAATTTATGTATTTGCAGAACATTGATGATGGCACCACCGACCGTCCTTACAGCCACGCTCTGGTCGCAGGCATCGACCGCTATCCCCGTAAGGTGACCACAACCATGGGCAAGAAGAAGATCGCCAAGAGGTCCAAGATCAAGGCCTTTGTGAAAGTGTTCAACTACAACCACCTCATGCCCACCAGGTTAGTGTTCAGTGTCCACATTTCTGTTTGAGTGGTGATAATGTTTGACACTATACTTGAAGCAGTTGACTCTCCCAACAATACAAACGGGGCGGTAGGTTGATGAAGCAAAATGTGTCTTGTGGAATAGGTGACAGACAAGTGAAGCGCTTCAACATTAAAAGATAAACCCAACTGTAAAAATATATCTTATGCTTTGATTTAAAAAGTCCAAAGGTCCAAACCTGTAGGCATAAAAGTGTAAGAAGAGATGTCGGCTACATCTCCAGAGGTGCACTTAAGTTCAAGACCTTTATTTGTCCCCGAGGGGCAACTAGTTTTGCTGCAGTACCAAAGAAGTTGACACACAGTACATAACAACAAAGACAACATCTATTAAAAATACAGGGTCAGACCAATGGGTAAATGAATACCACAACATTAAAAGTTCAAGTGAGCCTTATGTGCAGACGTTACCTATTCTTTACAGGGTTAAGCAGAGGAGAATTTATTTACTTAAGTAGAAAACATCTAATTGTGGAGATTAAAATTAATTTTATTTATAGTTAACGGCAAGATAAACATTACACTTTGTAGAAACCGGGTAAGGCTTTAATCAATTTAGAATTTTCTGAGAAATGTGACCATGAAGCCATGTTTTGTTCCTGACTGGAATTCGGGATTTGCTACAGCACGGATTCACTCTTCTGACGGGCTGCTTCTCCACAGCAGGGGCATCGCTTTTAGGGCTGTCATTTAAATCTGTTTCAGCTGGATCATTGAGGAAGAAACAGGATCATTGAGGATATCATTAACAGAACATATAAATGAGAATTACGTGTGTGCGTGCTTCACATCACTATTGTTTTGTTGAAGTTAAAATGGAACAACCTATACCACAGGCATGAAGTTCTATAACTACATCCAGTTAGTATTCCTGTTGCTTTTATGGACCCTACTGGTTAACTCAATATTTTAATCACTGTATGAAGATGAACCAGCTTTAGTTCATAAAATGGGTCAAGACCATAGCTTTGAAATTGTCTTTTATAGAGATTTTACTTGGCGGTATTGAACATTAATAGATTGAGTGTTGGGCCGATGGACGATGACTGACACTGTGATTGTAAATCTTCTTTTTTTACGTATATTTCCAATCGCGATCTGTTATCACGGCAGCAGGTGAGCCGCATGTCGGCTTGTTAATGTCGCAACCTATCAAACGACTGAAACAAACATCTGCACCCTGTGTTCACTGTTGCTTTACCTGGTCCGTGCGTAAAATATCCACCGCAATTTGTAACATAAGATAATAGTCTACCTATTTTATTTTTTGTACCGAGTGAAGTCTGTGCGAGAACCCATGCACATAAGACGACTGGTTCCCGCCCGCGCACCCGATGAGATCGTCTATCCCGACGTTTCATTGTAGACATCGCCCAACCCCATCAGTGTGTTTCCTTTTTGAAACGGGCTATTGGGCAGTCCTACAGAAACGGTTGATTCCCAAAAAATCTTCCTGTGAAGTAGTTGTAGTGCAACTGCAGGAATCATTTCAGTTTTATTGTCAGTTTATTCTTAGTTGATGTTAGGCTGTTGGTAGATTGTGTACATGACATTGAAAATAAAAAATGTGTGTTAAAGTAAATTTGATCATGCTTTTGTGAGGAAATGTAAATCTGAATTTTCTGACGCTAGATGTCATTTTGAGCACTATTGAACATGATAGTAAACACCTTGTAGAACAGAGCTCATGAACACGAATGAGATGGAGTTAAGTGTCTATTTACTTAATATGCTGCCTGTTAAAAATGTGTTTTGCCCTAAATGTTGCTCCATATCAGCTGTATAAGAGGCTGCTTAACTTCAAATCACTGTTGAATTCCTCTGTATGAACTAGATGTGGACTGAAACGGATAAGAATCTGAGCAGTGATAAAGTAATGCTCACATTGTAAACGTACCTACCAGCTGGTTTGAGGCAGTTTCTATGTGAAACCACTTATATGTGTCAACAAGCCTGCCGTTGTAAATATGTACTTGTAGAGATGTGAAAATAGGCTAAAGACTGCTCAATAAAGCCGTTGGTGGAGTGTTTAAACAACTTGTTACCCTCCCTTTCCTTCAGATACTCTGTGGATATTCCTCTGGACAAAACTGTTGTCAACAAGGACGTCTTCAGGGATCCTGCTCTCAAGCGCAAAGCCAGGCGGGAGGCCAAGGTCAAGTTTGAGGAGAGGTGAGTCGGCATAGTTTAGTGGGATTCCTTATTTTTTTTCACCTGAACATCACAGACTTTGTGTTCAGATGTTAAATAGGGGAAGCGTCAACTTAGTGATGGCTGAAATGATCAGTTGTCAAAATTCAGTGCAAGTCCACGTGTTCAGATTTGGACCTTCAAGCTGACCGAGCTGTCACTAAACTACAAGTGCCATGTTTATTTAGTTTTGCCTCTACCATACGCTGTCTGTGAAGTGACACGCCCAACATCCTTTATGGGAAAGAAAATGCCTACCACTTATAGATTCATGTCTTGTGCATTTATTTGTTTTTCAGGGATGTTTGTTTTAGTGGAATACTGGTAGTGCTAATTGCCAAGATGTGACGCAGTTGACCTTAGTCACACGTCAACAGGTGCCACCCCTCAGTTCTGTAATGTGCCGTCAGCAAATGTGCTAAATCTTTGTTCTCTTTCCAGGTACAAGACGGGCAAGAACAAGTGGTTCTTCCAGAAGCTCAGATTCTAACTTCACTTGCTTTCACAAATAAATGTTTAAAAAATGGATTTGGACTGAGACTCTTTATTGACATGTTCTATCATTTGATTGGAGGAAAATACGATGCATGAATAAAACAATCCATCGGTTTTATATTTTGTGCAAGTGTTACTGTCTGCCAAGTGCACCAGTCTGGCTTATTGATCTGGTTCCTGTATTCTGATGGTGATTTTCACAAGCATTGACTATTTGATTTCAGATGTAACTAGACAGTGTAAAACAGTCTTTGTCAGATGCATGAAAGTCAAAGTTACCAGATCACACCTGCAGGTTGTCTTTCAAACATCACAGAACTTCCACAGAATGTATTGACATTAAATGTATTTGTATTATAAATGGGCCTAAGACAAACATTCATGCACTTTATTTATATGCAAATAATTACACAAAGGCATTTAGTAGATTGACCTCCATAGTAAATAAGGTAGATTTAATATCAACAATAAAATGAAAACTGGCTGCAAAAGTTACTGTTATGTAAAACACGCACACTAGTGCTGTATTTGAAGATGACAAGCAGGAACTATGTAAACAATTAAAATTTCCTTTTCACAACTGATAAACCCAGCAGTAACAATCATTTTGATTCCCTGCACAGCATTGATAAACATGTGATTTATTCGGCTCATTGTTTAACTATCCAGCCACAGCTTTACTGGCTGGTCCAGTCTCATTGTTTCGTAGGTAGCTGTCTTCAGTTAGAAACCAACTGCAGGTGACCTGCTCAGCAACAAACGGCAGACAAAGTCAGACTAGCTTTGAACATGGTGGAGCATTTAGCAGCTAAATGTAAGAATAATGTAAGGAAAGGTTGACATGACAAGAATATGAGCAGATTAAAAGATGAAGTGAGTTAAAGTCCTTTTTTATGCATTTGCACACAAACACATTTTGTGAACAACTACAAATTGAGATTTTACAACCTCCTGCCTTCATTTCTTCTTTGTTTACAGTTTTACAGACGGACCTGAAAGCATCTTAACTCGCACTCTCTGCTACTCTCTGCTTTTCCACTTTCTATTGTTTTCTTTTAATATTTGTTTTTTCTTAAGTCAATCATGAATATCACTGCACTGCATTTTAATTCTTCATGCTGTCCAGGCCTTTGTCAGACAGAAGTAGGCATGGTTTCATCTAAAGTAGGTTGGAAAACCATAGATGCTCACTTTACACTTTAATGCATCAGTAGTAACAATAAAATAACAGTCATGTTTTCTTTGCTGCATAATGAATAGGCATACTTTTTTGATAGGCTACTTTAAGGATGATGATTATAATACACTTGCTTATATTGGGTTTTGAACGCAGGGCTTTTACTTTTAACAGAGTATACATTGTGGTAGTGCTACTTTTACTTAAGTAAAGGATCTGAATACTTTTCCCATTTGAAACTCTATAAACTATAAATCGTCAATCTCAATAAAAAAGGTAATCAGGTGCTTCACCCATGTTGTAATGTAAAGGGCCTATATTTCTGACAGCACCTGAATGCAGCACTGCAGCGCCCCCTGATGGAGACCATGGCTACGTTCAGGGTGTGCTGGGAAAGGGAAACTGAAAGAAAAGCACAGATCGTCGACAGGAGGTAAGTTGTAACTGAACTGCTTTTAAGTTTAAGTTTAGTTAAATACACCAATGTAGTGAGATTGCAGGTGTAACCTGAAAGTTTTCAGTTGTCATAGGTCTTGTTGATGATGACTTATTTAAAGTTATTCTGACATATTTCAATATTTTAAATCCTTTAGCCGGTGGTTTGTTTGTCTGAAAGCATGGCAAACACAATACGTTTATAGTTTAACTTTGATTTTTCCTAATTCACACATTATCTTTGTTAGATCTGTCTCAGTAACTACATTTAATACACTGACAGGATACAAAAACTATAACATTTTGTCTTTCATTCCAGGTTACTTTCACCATGTCTTCAGATGAGGTGAGGCGTCATTTTGCTTCTTCCTGTTTTCGTGTTGTTGTTTTACCTTTATGATGTTAGAAATAAATGCTACACATAAGAATGTACTCTAATATTTCTTTGTAAGACATTTTCTCTATTGGCTCAACTCCTTTTCTCAGATTGAAATATTCTTGTTTGATTTCTGTTTTTTTATGACACATTTTAAAGCTACTTTCACTTATAATTGTACTAACTTAACCACCTAAACTCAAAGCATCTCTGCATTATACACTCTGTGTTTTGATGGATTACTATTATTAATATAAAAGATATGAGGTGAGGTGTTTATATATCCTCCACCATTTTCCCTTTATCAGAGACAATGCATTGTTTTGTTTTAGGATTTCTCTTTGGTGGAGCAGATCCCTGAGCCATCTGAGGACACCTTGGAGGGAATCAAAGCTTTAATCGACAACTACAAGGTGCCCTGAAACTCATAGTTGATCAGAGAGCGGAATAATGTGGCTTGACAGTGTAATCATCTCTCTCAAGTGGTAGCAAGAGTAACAGGTTTCTGTGCACAGAGCAGGACACAAGATAAGAAGACACTGAAGCACTGAATGAAAACTCAATGAACATGATATTTTAGATAAATATACGGTATATGACACTCATATATAGGAAATAAGTATACAAGAGTTGCTACTCACACAAATAAAAGTAGCTTGCATTTATTTAAATGCCATATTATTTACATGTATGTATAAACAATATAGTTAAGTTCACTTAGTTCAAATTCATTGTCATTTGTTTAGGAAACACAGGACTCTATACAATTAAGTTTTTGTACAAAGGTACTCTAAGTAAAAATAATAATAAATTAAAGCTGCAAGCAGCGTTGGGCGGGCCCTCGCACTTCGGGGTGTGAGCCGGCCGCGTTGCATATTCTGGAGCTCTGCCGGTGCGGCTGTGAATTTGCTACGCGGTTCCGACGCCGCATGAAGGTGCTATATGTCACTTCCTGTATCCCCTTTGTGGAGCTACATAGCACTTGCTGCTATGAATATAAATCGGTATTGGTGTGTAGATGTCTGCGGGGTGTGGGAGAGTTATCAAGCACGTAAAGTTTGGTTCAGATGTGAGCATATACATTGAAGTTACAACAACTTCCTGTGTCATGGCAAAGAGTTGATCTTTGACGCCACGCCACGGACACACCCATTGACAAAAACTCACAAATAGCACAACTTTTCATCTTCAATGCCTTTAGAAGGCACAGCAGAAATTTGAAGTCGGTCGGACTAAATCCCTAGGAGGAGTTTGTTAAAGTACGAAGTGTGTAAATCATCCAAAATATGACATAAAATTCAAAATGGCCGACTTCCTGTTGAGTTTAGGGTATGGGTTCTTGAGGCTTTTTTGTGCGTCTTGATATGATACATGTCCCCAGAAAATTTTGTGCATGTAGGTTGAACGTGAATGAGGAGCTAATTTTTTCCAATTTTCTAGGTGGCGCTAGCGAGTCATTTTTCCACGCCCATGTGCGAAACCCATAAAATACAAAATTTTTCACCAGTCCTGACATGTGTGCAAAGCTTGGTGAGTTTTCGAGTATGCTCAGGTCCCCAAAATGGAGCTTACTTTGCAGGAAAAAATAAATAATAAAAAAAAAATATATATATATATTAATTCTTTACAAATTCAATAGGGACCTCGCACGATCGTGCTCGGGCCCTAATCAAATGAAATATACAGTATGATATAAAAAATATAAAATGTACAGTATGTAAAAGATGCCACTTGCATATAGTGTGGACATAATGCAGGCATTTATTTAAATCGATGGAAAATATCTGTAGTTATATGGTTTTGAGGAACTCGTATGAAAAACTCATCATCTTTGTAATTAAGTTTAAATTATGTCAAAATGACTAACTGAAAGGAAATCCTTGTACTATTTAACTTCTTTAACCTCATCAGAGCTGTTGTTCAGTCCTTCATTGCAATGTCAATGGGAGATAAAAGTTCTCACAGTTTCCAAAGATGCCAAAATTGTCATATTTGAAACTACGAGGAGAAAAATATGACACTTCAGTGCATTGAATTAAACTTATATTGTAAAGGGGAAACTTAAAAGTAAAACGCACTGGGTTTGTAGTAGCCTATTTAAATCAAATTGTAGATCCCAAAGTTTCCAAAGATGCTAAAACATGTCAGGCAGAGTTTGAGGAAATGTGTAAAAGGATCCACAGGAAGTCTTCTTTATATGGTGTTGTTGTAGTTAAGTACATCAATTCCTTTTACGTGGGAGAAACAGGAAAGTGAAAGGAAACAAATCTTGTGTTTCCACAGAAAAAATATGAACATCTGGTTGAGGAGCAGAAGGAATTGGCTGCATGCATAGACGACCGGCGGGACCTTACTAAGCAGTTTAAGCAGCGCAGTGAGAAACTGACCCAGTCTCTGAAAGAGGAGGAGCGCTCCAACAAAGCACAGATTGAAAATGAGAAGGTATAGATCTTTTATTTAGAGTCCTCCTCCAATCAAAAATGTGTTTCATTATTGTTGCTTTAATTGGATGTTTGGGCTTCACTGTGCAGAATCATGTATGTGAAGATTTGTGTTTTTATTACATAATTGTAGTAATACTTTCACTTTCACTAAGTTTAGTAACATAACCTCCTAAACTCAAAGCATAGCTGCATTTTACACTCTGTGTCTTAAACTTAAATATAAAAAAATATTTGCATGGCAGAGCGTTAGATGAGAAGTTCAATACCCCTCTCGTGTCTGTCCATTCAAAATTTAACGCTACATTCAGTAGCCGGTTAGCATAGCTTAGAATGAACACTAGAAACAGGGGCAAACAGCTAGCCTGGAAAGCAAATGTAACATCTTCTTGGCAAAAGTATGTCTCACAATGTCGAACTAATCCTATAAATTTACAAAGGTTTATAATTCAAGAGTGGAATTACCTGTTAACACATTAACATATGCAAAAATATCACAAACAGTTGTAAAGAAAACAAAATGTACGTTAAAGTGCCAAATGTTTACCGTTCAAGAGTTGAATTGCCTCAGAGAGCATTTCGATAATTGCAGGATACAAAAAACTCCAATGAAGCCAGAAGAAGAATCACAGAAATATGTTTAAAAGGACAAAACATAGTTAATTCAGGTTAGAAATGTCTGAGACACTAGAAATGATCAATTCTTTAATATATAAAGAATCAATATCACTCATCCTTGAACAGTTAAAAGGTGGTTATCCATTAAAAATTAAATATGGCAGGGTTAAAAGACAAAAGGCTTTATAAAAAAACAAAGAGAAAGAGAAAAGAGAATATCATAATAAGTACTATCAAAAGGCCTTTTTCAATTTAAACATGGGTACCACTGTTTAGACATAATGATAGGTTGCTTTTCCTCTGTACTTTGTTGTATCTGAAGTTTTTCTGTCTTGCAGGCTCGGCTGGAATTGATAAAAGAGGAGGAGCGCGAACTGATGCTGGAGATCAAGAAAGTGGAGGCAGCCCTGGAGGAGGAAGAGGCCAGAAACAACCATCTGGAACAGCAGAATGAAGTGAGTTTATCTCACTCGACACGCCGCAGTCTGCAGTCATCTACGACATGTCCTGTAAACCTGTACCTTTTTGATTTCAGGTGTTCACTGCTGTACCAGAGAAGACGGTTGTGTTCATGGGCGAGACGGGAAAGGCAACCGACACACAAACATTTGAAATGAACCCACATATAGTTTACCCGATGGAAGGGGGGACGGCACTGGTCACATTTGAGGAAGAAGTAGGTGAGTTTGTCTGAGACACACAGATGGGCGATCTATCTAAGCGGCCAGCAGTGTGTTCTCATTCATCTGTAGGTGTTAGAGGTGAATCGGTTTTTTTTTTGTGGTGTTTTTAAACCAAGGCACTAGTTCTTCTCAGTCACAATTTCAAGCTAGAAAATGTGTAATTAAATTTGGCTATAAAGCAGTTATCTACTATGGTTACCGTCTTAATCACCAGAACTGGAATTGCATGATGAGGCACTTTAATTTAAAAACCGATGGACCAGTCTGATATTTTCTCTTTGAATACTGATCCTAAAGACTTGCAGATACAGAGCACCAATCCAAAACCTGGCATATAGTAATACATACATAAGGTTGTGGCACTAAATATTTAGCTTAATGATGATTGGTCACATCAGCATTGGCAGCATGACAATCCAGTGGACCGAATCAATGACAGTAGATAGATGGAGTATTTTATTAATCTAAATGGGAAATTGCAGCAGAAGACACAGGACACAAGAGGTAGATAAGAAAACCTAAATAATTAAAATCTTAAGTAGAAACTATACTCTTATATATTACCAATCAATGTTCTGTGGTGCAAGTCAAATACATACTGTATATTGTCTTGTATTTATTTTTTTGATTGAAATGACATGGTGCTTTATTAGAGTGAATCTGTATGTACCCACAGTTATGTAAAATACAGGTAAGTATATTACAGAGATCAACAGTAAGATAAACAGTAATAAAACCAAACAAAAACATCACAGCTATGGTTACATGTTATAATGTTATCTAGGTTACAATTTGAAAGTGGTCAGTTAACATTATTGGATGAAGAGGACAGAGATAAACAGATGCACATCTGTTCTGGTCCAAAGTTAAAACATTGATAATGAACAGATATTACATGTGTGAATGTAGCTCTGCCTGTATGGTCAATGGTCATATGAAGCCACTAGGGGGCCTCAAAGAGCTGTGTGTCCCCTATTGATCCCCATCTCATCATTAAGGAACACCAAATCACAGTGCACACACTAGCTCACATAACAGCTCTATGATATTTAAACCTAACCAGTACTTCTAAGCTGGAACACCTGTCCCCAGGTGTGCTGTGTGTCAGCGGTTTGTTTATTTAAGAAGAGTTGCCATATACACACAATTTAAACTTTACTGTGAGTTTTTCTTATATTACAGCAACACATGACTGGATGTTATCATTGTAATATACCACAGTCTGTTCATTCATGTTTTGTTGTTGTTCTCCATGTTGGGTATAAATAGTTTTCTGCTTGAACACGAAAAACAGCTTTTTCCAACATGCTTTTCTGTGCAAGTTACTCTAAAATATCTGAGTGGGAAATGTTTTCTTATGCCCGACCGGTAGTGCTGAATAACTCTGTGTTCCCTCTGTCCTCAGTGGCCAAGAAGATCCTGACCATGAAGAAGCACCATGTGAATCTGTCAGAGGACTGCATCATCACCGTGGAGGCCAGACCAGTTCAGCTGATGGTGCCCAACTTGGTGGAGGTACAACAAAGAGACTGAATGTGTCAAATCTGAATTTTCTTACCCTCAGTATTAATTTCCTGTGATTAATCTCTGCCTCTCTGTCCTGCAGATTGACTCGGAGGTGTGTCCTCAGCGCATTTTAATCTCCAACCTGCCTAAGATGGACAATGACATTCTGCTGAACAAGCTGGAGATCCATTTCTCTAAGAGAAAACATGGCGGCGGCGAGGTGGAGGACTGTGAATTGCTCCCTGACTCTGGGACTGTGGTTCTCACCTTTGTGGAGAAAAAATGTGAGCAAGCTCCGTTCTTAATGTCTTACAGAGATTATAATAAAGTCAAATTACAAATGATTATTAGGTAATTATTCAGAACATTGTAGACTACAGCTGATGAGAACAAACAAACAAAATATGAATCCACAAATACTAGTATTATAATGCACACGTTGTAGGCTAAGCACTTGAAAGGGAACTAAAGTTTTTAGACAGAGGAATGTTTTCCGCCACTGTTTTGATCTGATGAAACGCTTTCTACCATCAGTTGCCAGAGGTTTGACAGAAAAGGAGTATCATGAAGTGCAGCTACAAGAAAAGCACACAGTGAGGGTGACTCCTTTTCTGAACGGAAAGATTACAAACTTACGGGTAAGCATTTGTTAGGGAGACCACGGTACACAGGAGAAAATAAGCTCTTCTATGATGTTCTGTTGTTGAATTATAATAGTATTTTTTTAGAGGATAAAGTGCACAACTTCTGTCCATTTTGTTTACTCTCCAGACAAAGATGTCTGTTTGTCCTCGGACGGTGCTGCTGACGGGAATCCCTGCCGTCATGGAGCGAGAGACTCTGCAGGATCTGCTGGAAATCCACTTCCAGAAAAGCAGCAATGGTGGAGGAGAGATCGAAGCCCTCCTCTTCAACCCCCTGGGGCAGCACACCTCGGCACTGTTTGAGGGGGTCTCCCAAAACGGATAGGAGAAGTAAGCTCTATGCTACCAAAAAAACCTGGATGAGATCACCTACAAGATTTAAGGACGTGATCCACCCAGCTACAAAATCTGTTTTAGTCTTATATTTTGTTACCTTTTGTTAGTATAATTCAGCACAAAGCTATGAACTTAATGTTTTGGGACGTTTTTTTCTTATCAATGAAACTGCCGGCATTATTTTCTAGAAGAAAACCTCTGATGCCCATCATTACTGTTGATCAATTCTGAGAATCATGCTATATTCAAAGATGTATAAAGTATTTAACCTGGGTATTTTCTGTGTAGCTATTTAAAAATATAAATCATTGGCATCAACGGCAACAAATAGTGTGTAATTACAATAATGCATTAAGTTCGATAATCAAGTATCTGTTATTTGGGCCTGTAAATCCTTGACAAAACTGTTTCCAATTGTAAAATATAAAAATGTAAATGTCTGCTGTAACACATTTACGTTTATTTACTTTCTCATGGAGAGTTCAATCGGTTCAATACACTGAGACTACAGCTAGCAGCAGGTTAGCTTAGCACAAATGGAAAGAGGTTAACGGCTAGTTCTGTTCAAAGGGTAACAAAATCATCCTTACAGCACCTCTAAAGCTCACTGATTCACACGTAATATATAATTTGTTTAAGGATCATTTCTTGGCTGGACGTTGAGTCTTCAGAAGGGCACAGTGCCCTACCAACAAATATTGCAGTGCAAAGCCTAGTCTTGCCATAGACTAGAGGGTGAATGTGCATATCCAAAAATGTCAAACTGTTCCTTTTTAGAGGTCAACATAGTCTTGAAAGATTTTAATTTGAGATAAAAATACTAATTTTGCAAATAAATATACTGCTGAGGTTTTTTAAAGTAGGAGACGGGCCTCCGCGGGGGGGCACCAAACAGTTTCAGGGAAGGCTAAATGAATTGATGTGAAAAAATATTAGATCAAAAGTTATTAAAAGGAGATCACAGAAGTCTAAATGTGTGTGATTTGATTAAAGGGATAGTTCATAAACATTGTTGTTGGGCATTTTTACTGACTCCCTGAGTCAGAAAGACCATAGGACGGACCTTTTTTTATGCATTTGCTGTTGACTGAAGTTAGTTAAACAGAAACATTATCCTATCGTGGCTCAATTGTTGATTGTCTGTGGGATCAAATAACATAATTTGATCCATAGGCATCCAGGACTAAGCAAGTAAACCAAGGGAGGGTGGGGAGGCGCATTTTCCCAAACTAGTGTAAATTAAAGTGCCTCGTAAGCAAGTAAAAGAAGACACAACCCAGATAAGCTTTACTGATCTTTTGTTTATTGTGTCTTGGAAAGGTAACAACACACTTTGAAAAAAAAAAAAAACCCTAAACTGACATTACTTAAAGAATCCAGCCTCGTCCCCTAGTGCACAAATTGGAAAAATAAAACCGCAGCTGAAGATGCACAGAAGGACAAGCTGACAGAGGTTAGGCACTTACACAGAGAGTAAGAACAAAAATACATTTAAAGGGAGTAAAAAGGAGGACATGAAGCTGAGAATACAGAAAAACAGCCACAGTCAAGTACTTTGGAAGACCGTCTACCGAATTTCACATCAAAACAAGGAACAATATAATTTAAAGACCTCTAAACAACAACACTAGTTGTTACTATACATTGTCTTAATGATTACACACAGACTAGTGCAGGAGTAACTGCAAGCATTGATCAGTCCTCTTCTAGAGCGTGTAGGCCTTCGGTCGTCCTACCATTTGTGCGTGCTGAAGTTCACTTCACACCTCGCCTTTTTTAATCTCAATCTTTAGTTCTTGTGTTGTGCTATTCTTAACAAACAAAACCAACATAAAAGCCGCTCATGTTTCCTCTCTGAAAGAGGAGTCAGGCTCAGATACATATCTGACATTGAAACAAGGTCTGTGCAAACTCTAGTGTCAAAGTGACATGGCCCCATGAAAGCTACGGCAGTACTCAGATCATCATGTACACGACAGTAACAACACATATCCTATGATGTGCTTTTACAGGTACCTCTAACACGTAACCGTTAAAGATTTTGCAGAAAACACCACTGGTTGTTGCTAGTAGTACATGTTATTGTTAATACAATTTTTTATCTGTTGTGAAATACATTTCAATACATTTGTTGAGAAACAGTAATTCAGAAATGCGTTCTGCCCAGAGGTTAACTGTCTAATTTATCTGTTAAGTCCTACACACAAAATACATAGCTGCTTTAGTATTGCAAATATTTCATATCAGTTTGTTAATACCAGAATGAAATGTTGATGAAAATTAATGATTGTGCTATCAACTACGAGTGTTGTCCTCACAGGGAAGGAACGACAAACACTTGATTGGAAAATTTACCCGATTAGAGATTTGAATGCACTCATGCTGGTCAAATAGAAATCACCACCAGGCACATCTCATCTTTATATTTTGATCAATTTGTATCATCTGGCTGGTTGCTTGCTTCCCCCGCCACTTACAGTGACTGTACTTCCTGCTTTGTAGTACATACCTCAAGGTTAAGGATTGTGTCAAGTCAAAACATTGCATATCATTGTTAATATTGCCGTCCAAAGCGAGCAGTTTTACATTCCAACCCCCAACCAACCTGTCTGCTCGGTTGGTAACAAAGCAGTGCATTAGTGGCTTGAGATGGGGGTCGCTGGTCTTCCAAAGTGAAATAATGGGACTAACTGTTGATGCAACTGGCATGTGCAATATGGCCGTTTAAACTACCAACGGTGTCCACTCACTTGGTTTGCGTCCGTACTGGGTGGAGCAAAGGGAACAAGAATGAAAAGGATGGAGATGAAAGGAAAACAAATTATTATAAATATTATTTTCTATTTGTTGCTTTTGTGAATGTAAAAGTTAAAGCTGCACTATCAGAACCTGCCATATAAAAGTTGAAATAGGAGCTACAGCTGCAGCAAATGACATCAGTCTACTGGGTCATTTGATCTAGAGCTGAAATGACTTGTTGATAAACCAAATTGTCAATTGGCAGAAAAATAATTTGCAACTATCTGGAAGGTAGAATAATAATTTTATTGTTATGTTATTTATTGATGTTATTTTTCAATGAAATTTCACAAACTAAACAAATAATTTAAACAAATATTTGGCAGATTAATTGACAATAGTCACTGAATGCTGAACTCAAACTGTGATATATATGTCCTAAACAATGGTGAGAAAGTTTAGACTCATTCTCTTACATGCTTTTGGTTTTCTTTAGTGTACAAGGTGTTAATTTTTGGCCAAGTTAAAAAACAGAAGACAGATATTTCTGGATATCAGTCCCCTTCTGCTGCTACTTGGAGTTGCCAACATGCAGGTCTGCCAGTAGCAGCTTAAAGAAGCTGTAACACACTGTACTGGGAGGATAAAAGGCAGTTTTAACTTCAGTGCCCTTACCTGAATATCAGTAAGCTCTTTGTGGAACCGCTTTGCCAGATCCGGACCATTCTGCATCGTTGGGATCTGGTATGTCTGAGAGAGAAAGAGAGAGGCCAACACTGGCATTACACTTCAGCCCATACTTTTACCAAGAGAGATATACAATCAATACCTTTACACGCACGCATAAAGTGAACATTGTGTAAAAGAGAAACCTTGTTACTATAATCAAGGTAGGGGATTAGAGAAACCTGAATTCTGCTGTGTATTTAAAGCTAACCACGTTTCTAATCAGCTTTTTACAAGCACACATGTACATGGCAAAAGACTGCAGACAGGAAAATTAACAGCTGGATAAAAGAAGAGATTACACAAAGCATTCTCGTATCCAACAGTAGTCCCTGAACATCTGACTACTTATTAAATTCAGACACTTTCCTGCTGTAAGGAAACACTGATCACTAGTACAGTTAAAATAATATACAGTGCATTTTTACGGTGAATGTGTTCTCCGATTAACCCACCTAACCTGGTTTCTCTGAGTAATCTGTTAGTTAAATGCATGCATGTTAATGCATAAATGCATTAAATGCTCTCAATGAGTCCTACAGTAGAAAGAGAAAATAATAACAGCCATTAGAGAGGAAAAACACACCTTCAAATCAAAAGAAGTAAAGCTCACCCAAACCAATTATTGAGAAACATACACAAAAAAGGTGAACTCATACCTTCCCTTTGTAGAGGAGGCTGCCAACAGGACAGACGACACAGGCCGTCCCGGATCCAAACATCTCCAGGATCCTCCCAGCATCCAGAGCTCTCAGCAGTTCCTTCATGCCCATTGTGCGCTCGGTCACCTTAAAGTCACCCTGACAGACACACAAACCAATGAGCATCAAGGTTTGATGAAAGATCTACTGCAGTGGTTTCTTACCTTTTGGGCTTGTGACTAGAGGTCGACCGATCTTTTGAAATCCGGGTCGGCCGATGGCCGATTAATGCTGCCGATTTATTTTGGCCGATATTTGCTTGGTTTTTAACCTCTATTTGCACCGAACTGAAGCACAGAAATCCGCGTTGATATTCGGTGCGGTAGATAACGGTCGTTAAGGTTCCAGTGCCGTATTAGCACCGGGTCTGTCTGTAGCTACCCGTTAGCAAAGCAAAGCCAGTCTGTCACTAGCCTATAGTGCGTTGGTCTCTTTTTTATTACTTATTTCTCTGCATTGAGTGACAACCCTCTCAAATATAAGACACACAAATAGAACAAATAAAAGTCTCAGATTCACTCTGTAATTGCAAAATTATTACTTACTTATTGTGACATGATAGCAACTCTTCTGTGATAATGCAACTTTAACTACGATCCAAATTAGCCGAATGTCATGTGTCTTATTCAGGTTTTTTCTCAAAGTTGGCAGTAACATATCAAAAGTTTTTAATTAAATATAAAGGAGTAATAAGAATTGAATCCTTACCGTTAGCTCCTTAGGCACTGGATGAGGTCTGCTGCTCACTCGGCTGGAAAATGACTCTAGCGGCAGCGCGCGTCAAACACGTGCTCCACGACAACACTAGGCTGCCCACAGATGCGCCTGCCTAATAATCGGCTTGATATACTTGGATATTGGCCGATGCCGATTATGTTAAAAAATGCCAAAAATCGTCCGATTAATCGGTCGACCTCTACTTGTGACCCCCAAAAGAAAGATCTGTGTGCCACCCTCATCGCTGGTAGAATAGGTCAGTGGGTTGGTGAGCAGTTTTATTTGAATAATTTTTAAAGCTGTGAAAATGTGAAATTATCAAATAACTCACAAGTTATTTAATAATTTTAACACTTAAAGAGGTGGTATTTTCAGGTTCAAAATCTTATTTAGGGGTTGTACCAGAACAGGTTTATATGGTTTCATTTTTAAAAGACACTCAACATCGGATTTTACATAGAACTACCAGTTTTCTCCCAAAAAGTTAATATACAGCCTATTACAATATACATTTCAACATTTAATGTGTAAATACACATGTAGAAAGAAAAAAGCTTTTAATAAATGTTTTAAAAGTGCGTGAATAAATCCAAAATTACCCTTAAAGAAGGCGGGTCAGTGCGCTTGTGTAGGCGTAGCGAGCGCACTTGTGTGCGCGTAGCCTTGCAGTCTATGATGTAGCCTAGTGGGAGAGAGACGGAGCCCCAGCCTCACCGCCGTTGTGCTGAGTTGTCCGCACCTTGCGGGACATTCGGACCATTTACCACCATTGATAAACCACACAAATATTATAGTGTTTTTAAATAGTGCGTCACAGGGATGAAAGGGTCGCGGCTGGAATACAAACGAGCTGTTTTCAGTCAGTTCAGTTTTCTGTGGGAGATGGGAACTCCCTTTGGGCTAGACTTTGGGCTTTTTCACTTAGCAAACCGGTTACATGCGCAAAAAGGGTCAATAAAGAAGAGGGGAAAAAGCCAAAAAGCATAATACCACCTCTTTAATAGGAAGCCTCTTTTCAAATCAGACCAAAGTATGTGAGCTGCTATGAAACTTTGAGTAACAGAATTAGTATAAGTTAAATTTTCCCTCCTTATCATAAGCGACACTGTATGCTATTAAAATAA